TATATACACGATGGAATACTACTCAGCCATAAAAAGGAAGGAAATGTCATTGGCAGCAACGTGGTTGGACCTAGAGATCATTATACTAAGTGAAGTCAGTCAAAGACAAATATCATATCATAACACTTATATGTGGAATTTTAAAAAAATGAGCACAAGCAAACTTATTTACAAAACAGAAATAGACTAACAGACACAGAAAACAAACTTATATTTACCAGCGGGGGAGGAAGGGACGGAGGGATAAATTGAGAGTTTGGGATTAGGAGATACAAACTACTATGTACAGAATAGATAAACAACAAGGTCCTACCATATAGCACAGGGAACTATATTCAATGGCTTGTAGTAGCCTGTAATGAAAGACTATGTATATATTTATATGTGTAACTGAATCACTATGGTGTATATCAGAAACTAATTCAACACTGTAAATCAACTATACTTCAAGTTAAAAAATGGGAAACAATTATTGCTACTCAGGACCCACTACATACCTATTAAATCAGAATAGCTGATGGTAAGCTCCCCTGTTAATTCTAACATGAAATCATGGTTAAAATCCACTTGCTTAGAAATAGAAGGAAACGTCCATGCTCCCCCCAAAAAAGCAGCAGCTTTGGGGCAGAGTTTTAAAATTTCCAACTGCATGGTTTCCTCAAAGTTTCATAAATTCCATGAAATAATATACAAAAAGGTTGTATGTAACTGCGGAAGGAGCAGATAGCCTTCAACATACTTTCAAAGAGGTCCATGACTGTCACCCCCAAATTAAAAATCACTGAAGAAGTTTATTCTCAGGCAGAACTGCCCACACAATCTCTTATATCTCACAGACAACACCATCACATGTGTTTCAAAATCCTTTCTGTTCATACATTGAGGCTTTTCTGGAAAGTATCTGCTTTACTACATGGCTTCAAGGCCTGAAATTTTAATCCTTACATTTTCACTTAGGTTAATGAGTTTTTTTTTCCAAAATGCTTACATGAAAGAAGAATCCAGTATCTATCCATCATTCACATGTTAGCAAGAACTGCTCTGACTTCAATGTGGTTTTATACTCCCACACATCCTAATGTAGTAGCTGCTTTGAATAGGCAGGGGGAGAAGTATGAAGAACTTTGAAGGTCTAAGTAGAGCTCCACAGAGAATTTTTTTTTTAATTAAGACACTAGGAACCTAAAAGATGGAGGAAGGTATCAAGGTCAGTAGGGTATGTGTGAAGAAAGAAGTCAGAATACACAAAGAATAGTTTTCAACAGTAATATTTCAGATAGGTTATGTAATGAAGAAATAGAAAACTTTCTTCCTTTCTTTTCCTCTCCCATATTTATCATATACAGACTCCCAAAATCACAAACTAACGAATAATACCATCCACACCATGAAAGTCAGTTTTAAACAATGTAAAGCACAGAGCCAGACAGAACTGGTTCCAAGTATCCTTGAGAGATTCAGTTAACCTAAGTCCAAACTTCCTTTCTGTAAAATAGCAGTGGAAATAGTTACTGCATAAGGTAATCCTGAGAACTAAATTTATGTGATGTACTTATTACAGTGCTTCAAACTAGCAAATGTTTAATAAATGGCTATAGCTTGGTAGGTTATGGACCAAGAAGGCAATCTGTGGACTGATCTAAAATGCAACTATGTTTTGATAGGAAATATCCATGTTCCATTATATTGCCTTTGATACAGATTTCATTACCCAAACATTTAAATATTTACTTTAAAAATTCAGTTTACTTTTGAAAGGAACAGCTGATCTTTCCAACTGCCAATCCTTTTTACTTAAGTATTCAGCTGCCATCTTAATCTCACAACTAATATAAACTCCGCCCTGAATTGAGAGTTCCTTAGGAGCGAGGACTGTGTCTTTATTGAATAGTCATTTACTGAGCATCTATATGCCAATGACTGGATTTAAAAATATACATACAATACAGTTTCTTTCCTAAGTTCCACTTGGGGAAAATGATAGGCAAATACAATCCAAGATAATGTGTATTATAATAAAGGTGAGTGCCAAGAACAATGGGGCACAGTAGAAGAAGATATTAAATTTTATTTGAATTGATAAGGAAATCTTAGTAAAGAGGGTGACATTCAAACGGGGCCAGATGTGCATCCAAGTCAATAATAAATGAAACTGACATTAGAGAGCAGAAGTACGTAAGCTACCACTGCGGGGAATGATTCATAAGTGGACTATGGTTTATTTGGACCTTGAATACAGAAGATGAGGATAAAAGATGGAACAGTTTGGTATGCACCTAGGCCTGTATGTAATAGTAAGATATACGATTATTAAATAGTAAGTTGATTGATGGGAAATAAGGTTGGAGAGGTGCTACCTTAGAACTAGATTTTGCAAAGCCCTGGTAACTAAGCAAGGCAGTTCCTTTAACTTGGAAGTTCCAAGGATTTTGTGCAATACACATGAACAAAAGGGCCATTATAGGTTCTGAAACCAAGATGTGTGTAACACAGTAAAAGCAGAGGTGGAGGACATCCAACAATGATGTTGTAGGTAAAGAAGGCAGATCAGATCACCTGGAAAGCAGTTTTTTAAATGCAGATATGACCTGCTATAGTTCTAGAATAGTACATAGGTCTTTGGGGAGCAAGTGTACAGATACAAAAGTGACATGTCATGAATGTCATCTGGGATATCTGAATAATAAAATCACTGACAAATACAGAAAAGGTAATATGGAAAATGGGGAGCTGTTTAAACAAAATTTATGTAGCATCATTGATATATGACAATATATCATGCTGTCATATGTGTATCTATATAACATGCACATTATGTTTCATTCAGCAGCTATTTCCTACTGTCTATCCTATTTCCCCATGTACATAACCCATTTCTGCTAGGCAGGATCTTCTCTCTCATTTCTCATACACTACAGAGCTTACCCACTCTGGGACATAAAGTTTGTATTTAACAAAATCTTATTGTCTGATTAAACAACTGAGGCCAGAATTATCAGAAAACTAGCCCAAGTCCTAGGTAGAGTTGGCAGTGAATAAATATATATGGCACTTTCTTTCACTGCTATATAACTTGCTAACATTGCTAGAGTAGAAAAATTTCCGAACTAGTAGCACGTCGTTCTAGACAACACAACTATGGTTCAGTTTACCTTGTGATAGTCAGTAGAATGAACTTTTTGGATCTAAGACCTCAAGGGAAATAGAAATCTTGTTTCTTGTCTATTTGGATGTGTTTTTCACTTTTAAAACATGAACTTAAAGGGGGGTGGGAGTGGAATAAGAGAGATCAGTCCAATCTTTCATAACAGCATATTTACTTCACCAGGAAAAAAAATGACTTTAATTACATAGGGATAGAAAAAAAAAGCCTTGAATACCCTTCCTTGACTAGATTCAGGGCTTTCATGTGAGAATAAAATACGCATTTACAGTAAGTTTAGATTTGGGGGTGGAATTTAAAGCTCTTGTTCATCAACATATCATAATGGATGAGTGTGACACCCGCATAATAGCACTTGTTTGAGCACTTTTAGAAAGAGCAGGGGAGCCTCTGCAGTGCAGTGAGGGAGTTTAAAAATTTAAGGATGTTTCCTTTACAATGAGAAACACCATCTACTCAAAATCAGTCGGCAAATCCGTGTTCAGAATCTGTGTTCTCACTCTGATGTTCAGGAATGGTTAGGGAAGGAGAGAGAATCTCAAGGTCACTGGGAATAGTCTTTAGAGCGTTCTTATAGGGCTTATCTGTGCTCACACGCCTAATTTTTTTCCAAGTGCAAAGAATGGCCACTTGCTTGAGACAGGCCCAGTGCCATCCTTTATTCAAGTTCCTTTATACTCCTCTTTTTAAAGAAGCTGTCAAGTTCTTTTTTTACAGCTGACAGAAAAGGCCAAATCTGTGGTACAGGAAAGGAGGTGCGAAAAGAAACTTTTTTGTGTTGATGTTTTACTAAGTGAGCTAAGGAGAATTTTAGAATCATGTAATTTACTCTGGAGGCATTTACTGTACATAGCTATAGTGATGGTAATTTCTTTCATTGTTGAAATGAAAAGATAACCATCAATCAGTTGTCAATTGGTCAATTGCAGAAGTGATGAAAAGAAACTGGTAGGAACAATCACTTCTGTGGCTACCTAGACATTTGGAGGCTTAAGAAAAGTATGGGAACTGGATTGCATTTTAAAAAAGGATTGGACTAGACTTTCAAAAAGGTTAATAGGCATAACTTCCTTGCAAAGAATGGCTTTGCAGTTACACATAATCAGGAAATGTATTTTTAAAAATGAAAAATTAAAAAGTCATGGAGTTAAAAAGTAAAAAAATAAATTATTGAACTAGATATCAGGTAAGTTAGCCCCCAAAATCTTGAATCTCAGTGTGTTCTTAGTGGAGAAAACAAATATAGCATACTAATAACCCAACACATGTATTTTAGAATAAATTAATGAAAATTACTTTGTACTCATGCCTTAGTTTCAATATTGGGCATTTTGAAATAAAGAACTTTCCAGGTATTTATCACAAGAAATTGGAAGTCCAAGTTTATTTTGAACAGTTATTAAGCAAACATCTACAGATAATTTGATTTTTTTAAACCTATGGAAGCTCACATAAAGGTGAAGAGAAGTTTTAAAATCATTCACTTGCATAAAAGGCAAACAGCACTTTGAGATTTAGTATTATAAGATTTCATTTTACTTTATCCTATTTACCTAAGAATAGCAATGATACTGATTTATTCTGAAAGTTTCCCCCCACACACAGTGATTTTTCTTTTTTTTTTTTTTTACTGTGGTAGGTAATAAAAAGGATTACAGGCCCCCAGAAGGATGAGATATCATCAGTTTGTAATCCAGCCCGTGGTTTCCTAGATACCGTATTGTCTATTCTGTTCCGCTATGTGAAAAATGTTGAATATCAACAATGGGTTTCAGTGCTGTATTGTTGAGTTTTGTATGAACTAATCTAGCTTCACTAAGGAAAAAAAAAAGAAAGAAAGAAAAGAAAGAAAGAAGAAAAAAAAAGGAAAAAAAGAACCATAGCTTTGGACAAAAGTCTATAGCCAGTGCATTTGAAACTCCCCTTGCACCAGGGCTGACTGTAGCTGGGGAAGACAGTTTACTCATTTGCTCTCTCCTTTCATACAGTCAGCTGGCCCTCTCCTCAGGTGTAGATCATCTATTATCATTTCACCTGTTTTGATTCTCTGACGAGGAAGGTCCCAGGACTTATCAGCTGGGATAGGCCTCATTTACAAGACAGCTCTGTTCAGTATGTGGAAGGTAAGCTATTTGCACAACTTCTCTGCTGTAGCGTGCTGGCCTAGCTCTAGAACTTTGTAGCGTATCACTTATTTTTAACTTTTACTTTTTATTCTCTCTTCTTCTTTTTTGGAGAAAGAAAGCCTGACAGGTTTCTCCGGAAAAGTGACCATCCATGGAATGAATGAAATGTTCCCTTTCTATTCCAGTAAGTAATTGACTTGTAACTAAAAATTGAACTGGCTGCTATGTCAACTGCAATGTGAGCCGCTGCTGGCACAGGTGTTGCTTACTCCTTAGCCTGGAAAGAAAGGGGGCTTAACCTGTGATTAAATTTCAAGTCAATTGACCTCAACATGATAGCACATAATTCTCACTTGCCTACCGAATGGCCTGAGTCTCACTTTGACCCTGATTCTGGCACCTGCGTTTTTGATGTTTGGCGTAGCTAAAGCTGGAGTTGCTCTTTGGGGTAGAAATAAAGTGGGTGGAGAACAGTTCTAACCAAATAACAAATGATGGTCAGCCAACTAAGTCTTTTTAATCCAGTGCTCAATGTGTTCTGTTTTTTTAATGCATTAACTATAAGTTCATGTAAATTACTATTCAGACTTTCATTTTTAAAAGTATGAATTCATGGACAGCTATTTTATTGTTAAGGATACACAGTAAATGTGAATCAGTGAATTACAAACAAGCAAAGGATGTGAGAATTACGATGCTTTCAAATGCTTAACTTTGATTATGTAACCTACCACAGGCTTTCTAAATATGGCTTGCACTTTAATAATTTTTGAGTACTAGGAATGAAACAACAGCATTGTTTTTTCTGATTTCTGTAAATAAACAAAAGACTGTTTAACTTTAGCACGATGACCCTATTTGAGTTTTGGAGACAAACCTGTATCTACTTTCCAAAAGCAAAATAAAAATCAGTGACATCTAGGATTACCATTTACACTTGAAGTTATTCTCCATTCATTTTATGTAAAATGGTTGCATGCCAAGAACTGGTCTGTAAGATGAGAACAGCCTGGACTGTTGTTTTTTTCTTCCTTGTTTCCTTTTTAACTTGAGAATTAGAAGAAATTGCTGATGATGCTTGCTTAACCTTGCTTTTAGTGCCAGGCTGTGACCAGCTCTCTGTGAAACCATTTCTGACCCTCTGCTTGCAGTGGTGAGCCTGAATTTTTCCCCTTCCTTGCCCATCACTGTCAGTCAATTATAGGATTGAACTGAACCAGAAAATCTGGTACAGTCTGGTAATTAGTACAAAGGGTTTCCAGTCTAGTGTAAAGACGGAGATGCAAGAGCCCCAGCAGTCACAGAAATCGTTTTGATTGGCCATGGACATTGCCTTTTAGTGCTGCTCGTTGACTTCCTAAAGATATTGCCTCCTACCCTACAGGTCTTCTCCTTCAAGTACATTATGGACCTTTTTTAAAGTCGTGTGTGCGTGTATGTGTGTGTGTGTGTGTGTGTGTGTGTGTTTCTTTTTTTAGATCCAACTTCTCCCATTTTTAGTCTGTCATTTTTGCCTATCAAACAGACACATTTTGACTTGCCCAACAAAGAACCAAGTTATCAACACTCACAGAAACTGACATTTTTAATTCAGGCTTCATTATGTCTTTGAATTATGACAGTAAAGTACAAAGACATTTTAAGAGTTTTTTCATTATTTTTTTTCAATCCAGCACTGGGATGTTTATCTTCCTTTAGTAGTCATATTTCCTTTTCTACCTTTATTCTCAGTAATATATAATTAGCATTATCAAAACCATCAGCTATTATCCTTTATGACTTTTGACCTTTATTTTTTAATATGCCTCAAGCTAGCGTTCTCTAAAATAAGGAAACATTCTATGAGAGATTTTAATGAAATATCTTAGGGTTATAAAAACAATGAAATTTAAAACATGAATCTTTTAATCATCAATATTGCATGATTAGGCAAATAATATATTATGTGATAAACCTATAGTAACATACATTTCAGGAAAAAAATTTATCTAAATCAATCAAACTTGCATTTGATGGTAAGTGCAATTTTATAGTGTATTTCATCACACATTTTTAACCACTACTTTGTAGTTCTTGGCTTAATATCAATGCTATTTTTGGATAAATTATATTTTTTGCAGAAGCAAACATCCTCTTTGATTATAGATTACAAAAACTCATTAGTCACACATTAGATACAACTAAAGTGTTTGGTAATTTGTCAATGTAACAAATGCCTGCCGTCAAAAGATATATATATATATATATTTAATGGCAAATTTAATGTCTGACACTCTGTACAAAATTACAAAAGCAACAGTATCCAGAATAACAGAAGCAAAATAAAGCACAAGGTTTTTCATTTCTAAGAATTCTATCTTTAGCACAATCTGCATCATGATTAAAATCATGATGTATTATGAATCTTCTAAAGGACCCTTTATTTACCTACATCTTAATGTAGCATTAAATGTTGTCTTATCCTATGTACAATCTAAACAAAAGTATCTCTGTCACCACCTGTAGTACTGATCTTTAATGTCTGACTTTGCTATTAAATTTCAAGGTTAATATTGCTTTTGTAACCCTGTCATGAGTAATGCATTCTCCCAATAAACATGTCATAATTTTAAAGGCTGTTCAAGAAACAGTATTTCTGTTGAAATATTTCTGCATTCACTTCTCTATTGTTTTTTAACCATAATATAGTGTAATGCTTTGAAAAGAATACGCATATTTATGTAATTAACACTTCTTGTTTTTAGCAAAACCTTGCCCATTAAAAACTAAAAGAGTCTTAGAAAACTGTGTAAATGGACAACTTCTCAGTGACAATATTTGCATTCAATTTTAATTCACCATCAAGTCTATATTTTGAAGTGTATCCATAAAGTGACTGAGAGAAGAGTACCTTCTGGTAATGGTTTTCTTATTTTATTTTTTAATCTAAAATACATGTTGAAATTCAAAGGGTGCTTGCCACATGTGGTGTGGCAGTATTCTATATTCTGTATTAGCTGAATGCTGTGTGCTGTGTAGGTCTGTATAAAATTACATACAGGGGTTCACAGGCTGTAAAATGGATACAAACCTTTTCTACCTCAGTCTTACTCCTAGTGGCAGAAGTAAGACTTGGAAAGAACCCTAAAGGTTATCTAGCCTCGTGATTTCAAACTGTTCCCTTGAGCTTTTAGCTCTTTGGGGATACTCAGGGCTGTGGGGGAAGGGAGACCAAGTAACTTCTTACCTCTTGCCTTTATCTGCTGTGTCTTTTAGAGTTCCATGTAAGTTGGGAATGCCATGCTGGAGGGGAAAAGTAGAAAATCACTGACTGAGGCTACCTTATAGATAAGGAAAGCAGGATTTACTTAAACTGGCTCTCTGAGTCAGTGACAACGTCAATTTTTCAAACCCATTCTCTTATCCCTTAGTTTTATGCTCACTCTGCTAAACTACCATAAACTTTCCCTACACAGCATGGGTGTTTTTGTAGTCATTCTAAGCAATATTATTAAAAACACACACTAAGAGATCCATAGCCCAATGTTTAAAATCAAGACACTTACAAAGGATTCAATATCAAGGTAGGTAATGCAATTGAGTAATATGCTGTAGACCAAAATCAAGCCCTTTATTTGGCAATACTATTAAATTTTGGTGCATTATTGCAGCCCTTGGGTAAAATACTGACTCATCTATTACTTAGTAAAGTAATATTTGGAGAGTATTATTTTTAAATTTTTAATTGTGGTTAAAGAACACAGAACACAAAAACAGTTAAGATGGTAAATTTTAAGTGTGAAGTTCAGTAGTGTTAACTGTTTTCACATTTTTGTGCTTACGCGTATCTTGCACAGTGGAAAAAATTAATTATGACTTAAATTGAAAAGAAAGAGAATTAAAGAAAGTAGAAGCTGAATTAAGATGCTACTCTTCCCAAAGCATGTTTTGTGGAATACTTTCCTGTGACATGTGCCAAGTAAAGGAAAAACACGGTCAAACAATCTTTGGAAATTTAGCATGCTATGTCCCTCTCTAGGACATTTACAATAAAAATTTGGATTTGAAAAACTGACAAATCATTTTATAAAGATCTATTTTAACTTTGTATAATTTAGAGTATCCTAAACAATTTTTCATAGACTTTCCCCATCTATTTTGCATTAAAAAAATCTATTTTTATTCCTTAGGGCTAATGTTTTGTTGAACACATTCTGGGAAATTCTCCTCTAATAGACCTTTCACACACTCACACAAACACAGCCCTATAAGGTAACGTTAATGTTATTTATGTTTGGTTCTGTATTTACCAATTCTTTACCCTCATTTTGTGGATGGGATGTTAATGGACATGCTATTAATTTAATCACTCAACAAATATTTAGGCACAGTGCTAAATGCTAGCAAATCAATCAGGCCCCTGACCTTACCGAGCTTACAGTCCAGGAAAGAAACTGCTGCAAGAGCTCTAGTGTCTTAAAAAGAAAAGGAAAAAAAAAAACAAAACCAGGAAGCACAAGTAATTTTAGCTGTCTCTGGCACTCATAGTTCATCTGGCTATGTTTGTTTTGTTTTCCCTAATTCTAAAATGAGAGAAGAAGGAAAGAAAAAAAATAGAACATCAGTCCGGAAGTTTACAGTCTGTTCTTTGAATAGAGATATGCCATATTTTCCTGAGGTCTACTTACGCTTCAACAGTTACATCCATGGTAATCCTCTAGTAATCCAAAGATGGGCTGCTACTGTTTAGAAAGAGGGAGATAGGAAGGAAAGGAAGGGAAGAAAGGAAAAGGAAGGAAGGGAGGAAGGAAGACAGCTCAGTAATTCCTGCTCTCACTTCCTATTGTAACTCTTCAGCTATTGATGTTACCTTCTATTTAAGATGATTCCTTTTAAGTGTCAGCTGAAGACCTTGTTTGTTCAACAGTCTGCATGCCATCACTGTCTTTTTAATAATTCAAAGCGTATCTCAGATTTAACTCTTGGTGGTAACCACAGGCCCTACCTCTGTCAGGAAATACTTTCCCTAATTAGCTAACCAGCCTTCTTATTCAGGCTCTGACCCTTATGCTGGGGAATCTGTGTCTTCATCTGAACAGAAGGTGTCTCCTAAGCAAAGGAAAAGACAGGCCCACGGGCATAGCCAGCATATGGTTCTCCAGAACTGTCCCATCCCTGTAATGCCTACACAAAAATATTAGATGTGGTCCTACCAAAAGGCGCTCTTGAAAGGTTCAAGAAGAGCCTCTCCTTCTTATTAGTTCCTTCATGCCCTATTTTCTTGTATGGAAGTAAGTGACTTGAGGGGTAGCTCCTGTATATACTACTTGAAAATAAATATTGTAGGTTGCTGGCCTTTGGTCACAGAGGTTTAGGAAGAAGGAAAGTTTGCAGAATTTAATAGGAAAAAAAAAAAGACTTACAACTAAAAGAGAAAAAAAGGAAGACCTTATGCAAACTATGGTTTCTTAGCTGTATTTGCTGTCATTGGTACGTCACAAATAGTTCTGTAAATCGGTTCTGAGCTGAATCCTCTGGGATATTATAACTTCATTTTGTTATTTCCCTCCTACTCTTCCCAGCATTTCCTTCGATGGGAATAATGTGAGATAAGATCATTGTCAGAATACTATAAGGAAAGAACTTAGAAAAGAATTTGGGATTTTCAAGTTAAAATTAACAGCTGTGTTGGTCTATTTTCTTCCTCTAGTTAGCTGCGAATCAGTTTTCTAATTCATTCTTCCCTCTGTCACTTGCCTATTGATAATATGCTAGGCCATGCAGTACTTGTCCCTTTTTATTCCTTTTAATTAACTTTTTAAAAATCAATTATGATTACTTGTATGGATTTCTATTCTCTCTTCTCATCAAATTTGTTTGGCTTATTTTTTATTTACACACCACTACCCACTGCTGTGAATTAACAATAACAAAAAATCTGCACTCTTTCCTTCCACCTCTTGAACTGGAGAAACAGTTAGCTAATAAGAGGCTAAATGAGCCTTAGAGTATAGAGAAGCTGGAATCCTTAAATTATTTAAATTGAAAAATGGCTGGTTTTACAATCAGAAAAACTCAAGTGGACTGTAAGCCCTACTTGATTGTCCCCCCTTATCTGGATGATCTTGTAATGACAGCTGGAGTTATCTGCCATCAGCATCACTGTCCACAAAAGCTTCTGCTCTCTCTGCTCAACTCTTCAGCAGCCCTGGGGAGCTGGAGCTGTTTCAGGGGAGAGGGTCCTAGAGGATTGGAAACTTTATTAAAATGCAAAGCTGTCTCTAATGACCATAAAAGCTCAGTAAACAGTGATAGATCTAAAACCACAGAGCCAGAAATGATCTGCAGAATGAAAAAACCGAGATTTCATACACTGCCACTCATAGGCTGGGGTCACTGTAAAATAAAAAGCAATGTGAAATAAATAGCAGTGTAAAACAAAGAGCAAGAGCCGGAAGGAAAGGAAAATATCACGTTTCAACACAAGCAGTGAAGTAAATGCCATGTGTCAGACCAGTCCTTGCAGACTTCTGTCTCAAGCAGCAGCCTAGTGGAATGTGTTGTGGGAAGTCAGGGTAGTGTCTGCTTTGAAAGATTAGGGAAGTTCACTCCCACCAAAAAAAATTCCTCTCAGTAAGCAACTCATTCTTGAGCTATGTTCATGAATTTTCTGAAACTTTTTGTTACCAGTAAGTAGCATTGGTAGTAATAAGATAGTAATAGGAATCCATCACACTTGGACTTTAAGTCTGAAAGCCCCTTACTTCACTTGCCGTAGACCACGAGGAATCTAACCCTCAACATATATTTTAAGTTATTTGCCCAATTTGACCAATTATACTGTAAAATAAAGTAAGATCTTAAATTTGACACTTTGTCCATTTAACTCAAAGGACTCCATGCATATTACTCACTAATAAGTTAAAGCACCAAACTATAGAACAATTAAGTTACATGTTATAAACAAGGAAAATTAAAACAAGATCCAGGTAATTTAACTTCAAGTATACTAAGCTCATCATAAATCCCTCTCCCTTTACCTTGCATTCAAAATTCCTTACTAGAAAAAAAAATAACTCTAAGCACAAAAAGTCATAAATAATACTTCAAATAGCTCAGTAGTCTTAAAAACCCAAGTAGTATGTTCCCTCTGCACTTCAGGGCTTTGAAAACATTTCTCAGGAGGGAATTTAACATTATCATCATCACAACCACCCACAATTACTTACTGAGTGCTTACCATATTTCTCGCCTTCTCCAAGCCTCATCTTCAAGCCTCATTTTCCCTTCTGCTCAGGAACCTCGAAAAGGGGGGAAAAAAAATCAAAGTGTTGATCTAAATTACCTAACTGGTAGTTTCCCTTTTTATGTAACTAGCAAGTTGAGCTAGCAAATGAAAAAGCTAAATGAAGTACCCCATTCCTTCATCTTCAGCAGAAAACATTAAAGTACTGGTCAGATAATAATTACTCCAAATATCACGAGAATCCCCTAAGTACATAATACTTTTGTCTTTATTTCTTCTAAAAATATTGTGTTTACATTTGACATGTTTATATACTGATTTTTGTAATGAGAAAAGACTGGCAGAATTACCTAAGACATTTTTTTCCATTTTCAGTTCAGAGATGCTTAAGGTGTGACCTTATACACAAGCTTCCTTCTCCAATGTAAGAAAACAAGGTTCCCTCTGTCCCCAAAAAAGAGACTGGGCACCATAACACAGAGAGGCCCCTTTGTCCAGCTCTCCCAGCTACCCCCATTAATATGCACTACTGCAAACTTGAGGCCCAGGGAGGAACTCCTTTGACTTGGGAGACTGGATTTTGCAAAACCCAACCTTTGTTCCACAGGGACACTCATGTCAAATGACAGTCCCCCACAGTAATTGTAACTCCACCATGTTCTCCCATTCAGGACAGCGTACTGGAGTGCAAGTGAGTGAAAACAATGCTGTTACAAGGATAACCTTGAGTTTGCTGGAATCCTTAATTCTTAAACCCCAGAATTTTATTATTATTTCACATTTCTTGTAACATATCTCAGTCACAGCTGATCAAGACACACCAGAGTCTCCTAACACTGGGGCTGAAAAAATACCCATTTAGTGAAACTAGCATCCAAACTGGCAGAGCTAATAAGTGAGAAGAGATCCTTGGATCCCTGGAGCTAACCCGAGATGCAAGAGGGCACTCTCAGCTAGCACTGGATCTTAGGAATCTTTCAGCGAATGACAAGACCACATCGTACCACTCTGCTTCTTCCAGCCTGGTGTCCCTCACACCAAGTTGGCTCAACAGCCTCAAGTTTATGGGTCAGGATGAGACAGAGGGTGTTTACATTAAAGTAGGTTTTAAATAAGCTTAAGATATCAAAATATTGTTAACAGTATGAAATTAATTTTATGCACCATGACTCAATTTCTGTCCTGTTATTAACTGTATTATTGGTGTGTGTTAAGCTGGACTTTACATTGAAAAAATTATTTTTGAAATTTCCAGTGTGCAAAATGCAATGATTTTCTGGAGAGCTTTTAAAAAGGCCAATACTGACACTATACCCCAGACAAGTTAAATCAGAATCTCTGAGAATGAGACCCAGGCATCAGTAATTTTTAAAGCTCCCCAAGGATTCCAGTGTGTAACCAAGATTGAGACCCACTGGTCTAAAGAAGGGAAAAGGGCAGACAATGTAGTTCAGTATGGGGAGATACCAAGAAATTATGATCCTGCATTTATAATTGGTGTTATTTAGATTTGTCAGCCTGATGACCTGAGAGCTGCCAATGATCCTGGAGATGGGCCTAAGACATTCCCAGGCAGCAGTCATTCCCTGTCTCTATCCTTGGGGCCTTATATCCCTGGGAGACAAGGCAAAAGGAAGTAGTGACTTTGCATGGCTGTAGAATTCTCTCCAAACTGTTTCAGTAAAATCTTTCTCTACCTCCCTCTCTTTAGAGGCAGGTAGAAGTAGAGAGTCCTGGACCTACTACAGACTTCCTCAGAATAGACAGATTCAGACCAGAGTTTAAAAAAAAATAATATGGCATGTCTGTTGTGGGCAAGGTGCTCACTTGATTCTTACTACGGCCCCATATTAGGGCAGGTATTAGATGTACTTCCATTTTACAGGTGAAGATACTGAGAAACAGCAACAAAAGAAGGCTGCCCAAGGTCATACAACTAATGTGTGTCTGAGTCTGGACTTTTTACTCCAAGACAGATGGAAAACTGACCAAGGGTCACCACAGCTATTCATGGACAGCTGTCTGTGTCAAAGGAATCTTTCATTCTTTAGGTAGAGAATCAAATTAGTATGCTAATTGTGTTCTTTGCTAGTAATGTGTAAGCAAGCATTATACTCACATAGAAAAGAATCTTAGTATTCAGACACCAGGATGGTATTTGTCCTCTTTTGAAACAGCATCACTAGTTCTCATGGCCAATTTAAATCTATTGGAGTTTATTTGATTTAAAAAAAAAATGTTTGGAATAACTTAGAGAACCCAGCATATGCATCTAAGCTCAAGCTTACATGGAACCTTTGAAAACAGGGTATGAATCCGTCTAAAAACAGTTCTGAAAATGGAAATCCTCTTGAATTCATGGTGGTAGAAAAAAAAAGAAAAAAATACATTTTGTATGTTCTCCCTGTGAAGTCCTAGAGTGTGGGTGTAATTGAGATTTGGCATCCATGCCAAACAGCTAGAGCCATCTGTTTCCTATTTGGTAAACTTCTTCTCAACCAGAAACTGCTAGCTACCTAAAGAAACAGCCTCAGGTAGAACCTGCCCTCAACCAATGTGAAGAAAGCAGTTGATTTACTCATCAAGCATTGCCTCATGTCTTATTATGTACTAGCTGCTGTTGCTCCAGCTATTTCATTTTTACCCCTTTCCCAGCTACTGGCACTCCTGTCCCTCTTCCTCTCACACTCCCAAAGACCTTTTCTCTGTCCCTCTACCCTCTGGGCCAAAACCTGCTCTTTGACCCTTCATTCATATGAAGATAAAAGTGGTTAATAACAGCTAAAAAGAGTTATGATTTCCAGGGCAATATGCATTTTAACAGAGAGCAAATCCTTTCAAGCTAAAAGGGCAATGGTCTTATAATATAATTACAGGCAGTGGTTCCCTGGAGACAGATGAGGCCTGCTCCAATCTTGCCACTGCATGGCAGCCTCCTGCTCTCCTGAGGTCAGGTCCATGCCTGCTCATGCTTTTATCCCAAGTGCTTGGCAGAGCATATCTGGCACTCAGTAGTGAAGGAAGCTCTGGCCTAAGGAAAACAAGTAGTAATAACAAGTCACTGACACAGATGAATGGGAAGGTGCTGGATTAGTTTTGAGCCAAAATACCATGGGGAGAGGCCAGGTGGAGCAGTAAAAGGAGGTAACCCCAGGCCATCATTTGAACTCTCCAAGAAGCTAGTGTCAGTTCTGAGATACTTCTGGGAGTTCCAGTTAGTTCTAGGAACTACAGATCTGGCTTTACTTAGCAGCTCTGCTACACTTTAACTTGTTGCATTCAACTTGCACTGGAATTGGGATAACGAGTAAATGAATCATTCAAAAAATATGTATTGAGTGCCTGCTATGAACCAGGAATGCTGCTAGGTGTTATAGGTAAAGCAGCATAAAACCCAGTTCCTGCCCTCATGAAGCTAGCATTCTACTTAGAGTCTGCTGTGAAAGCATTAGTTGTATAATTCAGTATTGAATTGGGGTGATGCTAAGTATGACAAAGGAAAACTGCAGGATACTGAAAAAGCATACATCACAGGGACATGACCTAATACACAAAGTTAGGCAAAGCTTCTCCAGAAAAAAAGTCAATTAAGCTGATTCCTGAAAGGTAGAGAATTTGGTTTAAAAAATTTTTTTAATAAGTGGACATTTCTAATAAACACCTTTAACATGTGATACTCAAGAGCTAATCCTGAGAATTATCTTGACTCCCTTTCTTGATATGCTTCACGCAGAAAACATTCTGAGGTCCTTGCAACAAGCTAGCCTATTCAAGGTTCTGAATTCAGACAAAAGAAATCATTTCCACAGACGTAAACAACTTCCAGAGGCAACACAAGTATGCTGTGATCCCATCCACTACTGTTACTCTGTGCTCTCACCTAGATCGCTGGCATGAATGCCTATTTGACATACCCCATCAGTACGCTCTAGACAGGCAGCTTTCAAATTCTGAAATGTCCACAGACAAGACTTTCTATATGGCTCTGTCCAAAAACCTTGGGCAAAAGAAAAGGAGTTAAGAAAAAGGAAATGTGTCAAGGCCCTTGAAAACCTCAGAGAAAGCTTGATCTGTACAAAGGACACTTTAACCATCCCGCCCGCTCTTCTCTTAATGTGGAGCCAATTCTTTGTAAGTTTTCCGAAAGACATTCCCAAGCTCATCATATTTTATACATCACCTTTCCTTGTCTCCCTTCTTCAGCTAATTAAATTCTTGTTCCTAAAAACTCAGTTCTAGCATCTTATCCTCTTACCCCACTGTCCCAATCTAATTTAGATATCCTTTCTTGTGCTCTCATAGAATGCTGCACTCTTATACCTTATCAGTTATATTATAATAATTGATTTATTTATCTGACTCATCTACTACTTATGGGAGTAAGTTCCTTAAGGACAAGACTCATGTTTTATCATTTTTGTATCCCTACTTCCTAGCAGAGTACTACTTTAAAAATCCACTGAATGAATTAATGTTCATGCATGATAGTTACTCTTCTTAGTCTCTGGAAAGACATGGAGACTTAGTTTTTATATATCTAGTGAACAAGTCTGGTTTTGTATGTAGGAAACTTCTGACCTATGCCAGGAAATTCTTCTCCATTTATAGATAAGCCTGTTGTAGTTACTTTAACTAGGCTGTTGCTCTATATGCTCTATAGTCTTCCTTTGAAAACATCTTAAGAACTAAATAGGGAACCCTCTGACACTGTTGGTGGGAATGTGAATTGGTACAGCCACTATGAAGAACAGTATGCAGGTTCCTTAAAAAACTAAAAATAGACTTACCATATGATCCAGCAATCCCACTTCTGGGGCATATATCTGGAAAAGAAGAAAACTCTAATTCAAAAAGATACATGTTCCCCAATGCTCATAGCAGCACTGTTCACAATCCCCAAGACACAGAAGCAACCTAAATGTCTATCGACAGCTGAATGAATAAAAAGGATGTTATACCTACACACATACACGTGCGTGCGTGCCATGGAATGTTACTCAGCCATAAAGAAGAATGAAACAATGCCATTTGCAGCAATGTGGATAGACCTAGAGATTATCATACTAAGTGAAGTCAAAGGCAAGTATTGTATATTATCTATATGTAGAATCTAAAAACATTATTCAAATGAACTTATTTACAAAACAGAAATAGACTCACAGACATAGAAAACAAACATATGGTTACCAAAGAGGAGAGGGGGGGTATAAATTGGAATTTGGGATTAACAGATACACACTACTATATATATAAAGTAGATAAACAAGGACCTACTGTATAGCACAGGGAACTATATTCATTGTCTTGTAATAACCTATAACAGAAAAGAATCTGAAAAAGAATATCTATATATATTACACACACACATATAACTCAATTACTTTTCTGTACACCTGAAACATTGCAAATCAACTATACTTCACCAAAAAGAACTAAACAGACCAGTTATACATGGTTCTACTGATCAACATATCAGCCAAGAACACAATTAGTTTTGATGTCCTGTGCTGAAAAGGTAGAATCATATGCATAAGTCTGATCTTTTAATCAGTGCATTTTAAATAACTTCCATGTTTCATATTAGAAATGGCATAATTTCCAAGCTAGAAGCAAGGAAAGAATGAACCATGCCTAGCAGGATGTTTATCATGTAGTAAGTACTTAAATATTTATTTAACAAGAAAAGGAAAGGATACATTAAAAAAAGGAATAATTGGATGCATGTATAAATATAGCATAATCCACAGGAATCATCAAGCCATAAACTAGAATAAGAGACTTACTTTTGGAAAAAATAACTAAGCCATCAAACATTAAAAATAAAGGCTATAGGAGTGAGGAGGGTTTCATTCAGTGGTAGAGTGCCTGCTTAGCGTGCATGAGGTCCTGGGTTCAATCCCCAATACCTCAATTAAAAATAAATTAATAAACCTAACTACCTCCCCTGCTAAAAATAAACTAAAAATATTTTAAAAATTAAACATAAAATGACATAAAAGCTATAGGAAAGTCAAATTTTCCAAACAAACAGGATCCAAATGTCATTCAAATACTGAAAAAGAGTGTGTTTAAAAAAAATACTAACCTGAAAGAGGCAAAAGTTTAATACATGAGGAAAACATATTATAAACTCTAAAGATACCCCATACCACCCGTTCTGTCTTCTCACACCCTTTGCTTCCCCCACACATACACAATCACCATCCTTACATATACACATCACAGTTGTCTACTTGCTTTTCCTGAAAGAGCCTTGATTTGGAAAAGAGTAAGTTAAGAGATGACGGTAGGGTAAGATAAAGTCCTGCCAGCTGAAATTCCCCTTCCTTGTCTGCCTATTTATCTTCAGGATAGGCATAATCGCCACGTCTTCTATGGAAACTCCTTTTGATCTATGCTAGCTCCCAGCCAATTGCCCCCTTCCTCTGTACCATCACTACAACTTACCTCTTCTTCTCTTCTGCACTTATTTCACTCTCTTTACTTATAGGTGCCTACGTGTGTCCTTTCTCTAGAATAGGAACTTTGAAAGAGTGGTTGTGTCTCATTTATCTTTATATTCCATTCTCCCTCTCTTCCTTCTTAATTTCTAACCCAGCACCTAGCAAAGAGTAGGAACTCAGAAAATGTTAGCATGGAAGGGAAGAAGCAAAGAAGAAAAAGAAAGAAATTTATTTCTGATGAAAAAACTACTTGTCTTCTTCCTTTAAAATATTTTCTCTTTTCAAGTTCAGGGGACAGCCTTTTTTCCCCTAGGTGTTAAGGTGTCTGCCCTTGAACACCTTACTTTGGCAAAGTGCCCAAATTCCATCTCCAACCAGCTGAGTCATTTTCAGTTCCTTCGCGATTCATTCATGCTCTTCCCCTTCATTGACACGTTAACATTTCATGGTGAGTGGGTCCTGTTCAGCTGGCAGCCCCCCTCACCCCACACCTCTAAGCTGTACTCACTTCACTAGTTCCCAATTGCCTGCCTCTTGGGGAGCTCTCAGTCATCACCACCATCTAGCGAACAGAGGAGTTGTTTGTTTGCTGTTGTCATGCCTAAATTTTAATAATTAACGTGAAGCAAACTCAGAGAATGAGAGATCTCTGCTAGAGGCTATCTTCTCTTACATGTTTTCAAAAGCACCTAGTTTTGTGAAGAAAGTGAGAGAAATACAGATAATGAAAGAACTGGGCAGACCTAATATCTACTTAATTTGGTATCTTGTTAAAAATCTCTCGTTTTTATTTTTCTCAAATATCCATACTTCTTCCTCCATGTCCTCTGCAATAGTGACTCTCAATGCATTTCTAGTTTGATCTTGCTTTGTAAGTGTTGAATTTATACAGCAATAATCCATGAGCAAATTTAGTAATTAAAAATCTAGCATTTCTAAGGCATGGCATACAAGGGTTTCTATTAACTGACTTCCAAAAGGAAATCACACACACAAATGTTTGTTACAAGGTTCGCATTTCAGGATTTACTTTTGTGCCTTAGGCCCTTAGTAGGTGCTCAATAACTCCCCCCTGACACACTGATTTGTTTTAGTAGCTCCCTGTTATTTCCAAAAGACAGCATTTTCCAGACTTTTCTGATCATCAAATGAAACGTATGTTTTCTTAAAGCTGTGGAAATAGAATAATTCATATTGCGAGGTTATTTATTACCAGCCAGGCCCTCATCTTGCTCTACGGGGCTCTGATAATCACCTATTTCAGAAGCCATTAGCCTTCTGTGTGTTGTAAAGCACTCTTCACTGTAACGTGTCTGTGCCTTTGTATTCTAGGGGGAGGAATGGTGTGTAGTGAAGTAACAGACCTCTGTTGACCAAGTAGGAAAGTCTTTGATACACAAATAGTACGTTAAAATGCTTTTATTTGATAGTGTTGAAATTAAACAGTGTGTGGAATCCCTGCCCAGGTATGGGAACGTATAAAACCTCTGAGAACATGTACATTAATTCAAATGCTTAACATTACTGAAACACAGACTTATAAGAAAAATGCACACTGAAAGAATGTAATAAAGCTTAGGCACTTACAGGAGGACAGCAGGAGCTGGATTTAACTTATTGATTTTAGAGCCACTGTTTAAAAAAAAAAAGAGCGAAATATTGCTTTTACTGTTGTCAGATAATAATGACTATTGTTGCAAATTATAAAATTTAATTAGCTATATAAATGCCAGAGGAACAAATAGTGTGCTATTGTCTTGATATCTTCCCAGAAATTAGTCTTTTAAAATAACTTTGCCATATTAATCATCTAAAAATATTTTTGATCACTGAATTAATAGTTTGCAGCCTGTTTTCAGGTACTCATTGCCATAGGTGATTGCTTCTTAATTACTACATGGGTTCTTTCTATTCACTCATATTAATTCATGTTTTCTGGCACAGTCCCAAAAGGCAGCCTTGCCCTATATCTTCTAATTACTTCTATAATTGAATTTGCCCACTTTTTCTAACCTATTTTTTAAACTGACTGTGTTTGTTCATGGTTTATTGTGTCTTTTTTGTGTCAGTTCTCTGCAAGCAGAATGTACATTGATTCTTTCCTCGTTTCTCATTAATTTTCAAGAGCTTTGCTGCATGTCTGTTTTTTCAGTCTGTCAGACCTATTGCTGGACCAAAAAAAAAAAAGACTTATTATTAAAGGTTAGGTAAAATAGACTGAAGTTAATTAATTCATTAGTAACTCTGAGCCAATTACTGAAGCCTTCTCTTATTTATATACTTGTTAACAAGACAGAAATGAGAAAGGCCAATTATAGGCACATGTCCTTCAGAAGTTCAGCAAACCCAGAGCTTATGCATTTGTTGATACTCCCCCTGAAAATTCAGTTTATCTATCAGACATGTGAAACTACATTTAAAAAATTGTTGAGTAACACTTTATTCCATTCTATCAATTGATAAATTTTAAAGGGTTTTTCTCCCTCTTCAGATTTTTTAGTATGTCTAATAGTACTAAGTTCTTCTAAAATTATCTCAAAAGAGTATTACTTAGCCTTAGAGCAATTATAAAAATAGGAAAAAAATTATTTTTGGTTTTCATTTTCTTCTTTCTAAGGTATTGAGCTTTTAATTCTTGAAGTGGCATAACTGATTAGCAGATTTCATATACTACAACCCTTTAAATATGTTCCACTTAATTTTTAGTGAATATGCCAAAACTTTACAACATGTGGTAAGGCAGTTTTTCCCAGATTTCTCCTGGTGATCTATATTAAAAATTTTAACTGCTTCTTCTATATAAACTACCTGCATTGTACATACTATAAGCATCACTTCACCTTCCCTGACTCAGAAATATTTAACAGGGGTTAGGAGAGAATGGGGTTGGTGATTGATTAGTGATTAGTTTTTTGCACATTTATAGTCTCTTTAAATGTTTATGTCAGCATAGGACCAATAAATTAACAGAATGAACTGACACTAATATCTCAATAAGTTGACTGGCTGTTTGGCTGAGGTAAAACTATTTGAGGTATGTTTTTTCTTTTCCTTTTTTTTTTTTAAACTTTTTTTAATATCATGTAGACATGGGTTTCCATAGTCAAGTGATGCCAAAATAATAAAAAATGTGCCTAACTTAGTTGTTCCTCAGTTCCAAATGTATTAAAATTTAATCAGTTATTTTATAGCATGATAATAACAATCACAGCATTAGAAAATGAGAAAGAATCTCAGCAGATGATTACTCTGGGTCCTTGATTCTTGAAAGACTAAAGAATAAAGGTTTAAAAATATGCAGTGTGCCTTATTCAGGAAGCCTTTCTTAACACTTTCTACATCTGAAGTTAATAATTTCTTGCCTCCAAATTTTCATACCCTCTTATTTATAACCATTTTATGAACCTTTTCACTTTTTACCCTGCATTGTAATAACTTGTCTTTTTCTCTGCTGAATTATTACTTAATTGAGGAAGTAACTGTATTTTACGTACTTTGTAGCCCAAGCACTTAGCACAATGCCTGACAAATAGCAGACCTTCAAAAATATATGTCAAAAGAATTAGGAGTGAGGAGTCCATAATCTCTTTTTCACATATTTGTTGTCTAACCTCCCTCACTGTCTAGGCTAACTAAAGAATCTCTTGCTTGAAATCAGTTAATGTATCTTAATTTTATGTGGTAACTGCAGTAAATTGGCAACAAATGTTCCGTTATTAATTCATCATGCAGGCTTCTCTGCTCAAGATTAAAAGTCTATACTAATTTTTCCTCAGATGAACTGTTTTTCATTCCTCTAATTACTACATGACTATTTTTTGTGGCTTTACCAGCCTCAAGTTTGTTACTTTGGGCCAAGACCACACAGGCCCTTCTTACTCTTTCCAATTTCATGTGCAGTGCAGACACACCTATATGAAACAGAAGTTAGATTTCTCCGTAGGGATTTTCCCCATCAGTTCTCCATGCCCCTGTTTCAGTGAAGCTGGTTTTCCTTCAGTTAACTTTTGTGTATTATCCCTGACTCTTTTTTTAGCCTTCCTTTCTTCCTTCTTTCCTTTTCTCCCTCTCCCCTTCCTTTTTTTTTTTTTTTGAAATAAGGCATTTCAGAGTTATGTCTCCTAAAAACAGCACTTCATATATTTATAATGATTTCCAGTGTATGAGCTCTTTCCATAGATACCATCTCATTTGATTCTTACAGGCTAAGTATTATGCAGGTGAGAAAACTAAAATTCAAAGAGGTTAAGTGACTTGCCCAAGGCCAAACAGCTAGTTACAATTTCAGTTTTTAAATTCCTGACTTGTTTGCCAGTGAGAACAAAATTCAGGTCCCCTTTTCTTAGTATTTCTTATCTTTTATGTGAGGGAACTACCTAATATACTCCCTAAACAACTGGATTTGCAGCCAACTAAATGATATTTCCAGTAATTATACAGGTCATCATAAAGGGAAAAAATGTGGCCTCGTACCTTAATGTGTATATATTATGCAAAAACACAGATTCTGATTCAGCAGGTCTGCGTTTCTAATGAGCTCTCATGTGGCCTATGGGGCCGATGCTGCGGGTCTACAGACCTCACTTGGAGTAGTTAGGCCTGGTGGACCGAGTAAGGCTCTGGAGCTGGAGGGACTTGATTCAAGTCCTGGCTCTTCTGTTTACTATGCGCTGGGGTGAGCTACTTAGCACCTATGAGCCTCGGTTCTTCATCCTTAAAATAAAGACAGTAATATGTATCTCACTGAAAGCCAAGGGAATTGCCTTTCAATGAATTGACATCCTTCCTCTCCACACTACTGCCTAATCAATCTTCCTAAGGTCTCCCTCCACTCAGAAACTTTCTAGTGAGCCTCACTGCTTGGTGAACTAGGGACAAACTCCTCCCCTTGAGCTCCAAACCCTCAATGTTATAGCCAAATTCCCCTTTCTAACTTGATCTCTCCCCACTTCCTACTCACACCTTCTGGCAGCCAACACATTAGATTTCTTACTGCCTCTTCTTGATTCCCCTTTGTTCTAGTCAACCTTCATCATACCCACTTTATCCTTTCTTTAAGTCTCTTCTCCCATCCAGGCTTTTAATGGAAGTGTTTTCCTGCTCTTATCTCCTCGTACTCCTAACTCCCGCACATATCTAGCTATGTGTCTCTGAATCTGAATTCTCATAACGCTCTCTTTGTATCTTTGGATGGTTTCTTTTATATTGTTCCTTATGTTCTAGTTATTTCTGTAATTATCTCATATCCTATTAGACTCTCAGTAACTTGAGGATGGGGAACAGGTAGGTATTGTTCAGATATCACAGATATACAACTTTGGGGCGCAGACCTGGATACATACCTCAGCTCCATCATGTGCCAGAACAAGCCTCCACACCTATTTGACCTCCAGTTTTCCCATCTTTAAGTAGGCACCAAAAATGCCTAACTTGCAGAGTTACTGGGAAGAAATGCTGTATATAAAATACCTCACACGGTATCCAGTACAAGAGCGCATGTCAATGAAATTGAGCAGATTAGAACTGACCATGTAATCCCAACACAACTCAGACATTTATTCTAGTGTATGAATAACTGGACCCAAGCCCAGGCTTCCAGTTTGTGTGAACATTTTAACATTTTCTTTTCTGTCTATGTTTATGTCCATGTTAAGTCTCACCAGAATATTCCATATTCAGTCCTCTTCAAATCAAAGTACATTTGTTGATCTAGCGCCCAATGAGTATAGTTTGCAGTGATAATGGAAAGGTAACAAGAGAATGGTTTAAAAAAAAAAAGCATGTGGTTTATAGTTAAGCCTAGGTTTGAATCCAAACTGTCACTCTCTGGCAATTTCCCTAATCTCTCCGAACTGTAACAATCTCAGAAGTTGGATTTGAGCTGTTTTTACTTTCTTTTTTGTATTTCTCTGTATTTTTTAGACTTTTTAAAAAATAAAGAGCATCTTATTTCTGTAGCCCAGGAACAATAATATTACCATGAGTAATAGTAATAACGTTTAATGCCCCAAATCTCCACTTCTGTAAGTTGAATTTATATGCATTTTTTTTTCTTGACTGTTCAGGGCCCTCATCAATTTAAATGTTTTGCTTATTTCAGTAATTGCTAAGAACAGTACATTTCTTTTTATATTCTTATCAACTAGTTTTAAAAAACAACTAAATATATCAATAAATTGTATCGCCATTCAGTTTAACACTTTGGGGGACAAATAATTTTTTTTATAACTAGAAGTTAAATGCTGTCACTGTAACCGAATTTGACTCACGCCTGGACACAGTATGAGAGAGAGATCCAAGTTGTAGCTAAACTTAAAGCAGTCAAAGCCAAAGTCACAGCCATAGTCAGTATGTTGTTTTGTTAATGTGGGTAAGGAGAGTTTTTTTAAAGAAAAATAGAAAATGGGGCAAACCTTGTTTTAATTTGGGACTATACGGAAAGAAAACTAAATGCCTATATAAAAACCCATTCTTTCAGACTACCAGTAACATCTTCCCTCAGCCTCAAGAGACAATCATAAAACAATAACTCAGAGTGCTTTTAGCACAAGAACTGAAGTTGTACACTGTGCCTGTAAAGTCCTATGTAGAAGGAAGGCAATGTTTAAAGCTGCTGTCTCCTCCTGAAAGAAAGAAAGAAACTGGGATTCTGAATCAAGGATGTATACATTTTCTGTCTTTCTGTCTTGTGGGTCTTTCCTGCTAAAAATATTTTTATGAAATTGCTCTGTGCTTTAAGCTTCGTGTGGTCTTGTTTGCTTGTTCTCAAATCTCAAACCATGACATAGTTATGAAACATCTTGAGTTATTAAAAGTAGAGAAATTGTATTTTGTTTGTGAAATAAACAGCAGGCCAAGCAATGTCTTCAGAAAGAAAGATCTTATTTTGTATGAAAAAATGTCCTTTTTCATTATAAGCTAAAATGAAGGATGATTCCAGGACAAAGAGACAGAAATTATCACTTGCAAGCTGTTATGCTGAAGCTGTCTGCATAGCTGCAAATGAAGCAGAGATTGGTTTCTTTTTCTTGGCCTATTTGGCCAGTATAAAGCATCTTACTGGGTGATCAAATCTTGAAAAGTCACCTTGAGATTTAAGTTACCAGTCTGCAGCATATTGAGGATCAACTTAACAACAAAGAGAGATTTAATTTCACTTCCTGAGGCATAAACACAAACTGAGACACAGCCTACCAAATGGTTATAAGCATGGGCTTCAAGTTAGACCCACCTGAATGTAAGCCCCGGGTCTACCCCTGGCTAACCACGTGATCTTTGGCAATTTACTCTCATGAAGCCTGTTTCCTCATCCGTGGGGATTATACCATATTTCATCAGAGTTAAGACATAAATTTCTTTCACACTCTAACATCTCTGATGTCAAAAGGCATCTTACAACTGATGATTTGTCATGGTTTAATTAGCAAAGCCTTTTCTTTTCTTACTAGTACATAAATTAATTGTGGAGTTAACCATCTATGGCATTTGAGATTCAGTTAAATTATATATATGTCATAGAGTTGTTTTGAGATAAAAATAAAATAGATATGTAAAACCTAGTACCTGGCCCACAGAAGACTCTTGGTAAATAATACCCATTAATGTAGTACAGTACGATTTTTTGTAACTTTGGCATTTTTCTGTCATTTTAGTTATAGTTTTTGTTTGCCAAAACTAGAAGTTAATTTTTTTTGCAAAATCCTTGTGTTGTGATAGCCTGCCTACTGAATTAGTTGTTCATCAAATTTCATCTAATTTCTCTGGCAGCAAGATATTGACCCTAAGGGTATAAATCTGAAACATGATCAAAATAAAGGCTTATGAACGTCCACACTGATTTATCAGATTGAGATGTCTGCAGACAAGAAGTCAGTAGTGCGCATGCTTCACCAGTGCCTGGCCTGTGGTTATTAGCTACTGCAGTGGTGTTAAGGGCAGAAACATGCAAGGAGTGGGTGAAGAGCACAGATTCTGAGCCAAACTGGCTGAGTTCAAATCTTGGCTCTTCCCCTTACAAGCTCTGTAACCATGGACAAGTTACTTAACTTCTCTGTGGCCTCCATTTCGTCATAGGGTTGTTGTGAAAATTAAATGAACAATGTCCATGGGGTACTTTGTAAGTTTGCTATTATTGAAACACATCCTTCTTGTGTTTAAGTTCCTTAAAAAAGGGCTGAGTTTTCTGATACTAAAAGGGAATATTGTAATCAATTTACTTTTCAAGCAAGTAACTGTTATAATTCTGTTAGAGGTTTATATATAAATATATGTTTATGTGTTATACAAAACATATAACATGCAAAGAGTCCCTTTGAGATATTTGTAATCATGTGGCCCAGCTGATAAAACTAGCCTACTTAGCAATAAACATGACTGGAAAAAAAAAATCAAATTAAGTCTGAGGTTGCTTTCAACAGCCTCTGGGTGTCTGTATATATCTTGTTATGGTTTAAAATTCAGTGTAATATAGGTCAGCTTGTACCCACAAGAAAGGGTCACTATGACCAAGAATTTTAGAATGGCCTCCTTCTAACATTTGTTCACTTGTAATTCATATTATTCTAATTTCTTATAGCTGTGAATATGACTATTATGCCTAAAACAACTATGACCATCAAGCATGTATCTCTAAGCACTTAGATTGGGTGTGGCTTTTAACTTATTGATCACACCTTTTAAAAATACAGAATCAACTCTGAAATGAAATAAAACTTACCAATAGTTCATCATTATTTTGTGAGTGGTAATTATGTGGTAATTCACTTGAATAACTGTAATCAGTATTATTTTTCATAAACCAAAGCACATTTTTAGCTTTTCTCTTCTCTCTTTGTTTGAATTTTGTTCAGTCTCTAATATCTGTCATCAGTGTCAATGCCGAAAGACTACAGCACAGTGTGTTAGAATGTTGGTGTCCCAACAACTTGGCTCCAAAACCCAGTCTACCACTCAACTAACCCCCAAAATCTTCAATAAGATTTGCTCTTGCTCATGTCATAAGTCTGGTAAGGGGTAGGTGGCCTTCCTTTATCCTGCAGCTCAGCCATCTAATGCATGCTTCCCACAGTCATCCTGGTAGGAAAGGCAGAACCTGGAAGGGCTCTTTTAGGAGCCAGAACTGGAAATGACTTAAGTCACTTACATCCAATTCCGTTATCTAAAACACAGTCACATGTCCATAACCAAATTACAAGGGAGGCTGGGAAATAGCATCTTACTACTTGCTCAGTTAGAAAAAATGGTGTGGTGAATATGTAGCATTTTCCCTGCCACAGCCACTTACTAGCTGTATAACTTTAAGCAAGTTACTTAACTTCTCAGAGCCTCAGTTTTCTCATTTGCAAAATACCAATAGTAATACCTATCTTGCAGAGCTGCTGTGAGGATAAATGAGAGAAAGAATGTAAAGCACATGGCATATGATAAGTCCTTCATAAAACTGTTATGTTTTATTACTAATAATCAATACTTTCTCCTTAAAACACATACATACATAGGACCCAAGTTATTAGCACCCACCAGTTGAACTCTCTACTGAGCCTCTAGATACTGCCTAGCCTGTTGGGAGTACAGGAATCAAGGCAGCCTAGACCACTGGCCATGGGACTGATGTCCATAAAAGCATCATACTACATGGGCTGGGGTAAGGAGAAACCAAAGCCAGGGCAGGATCCTGAAAAAAGGCTCTATGTTCTCCTGGAATCTTAGAGGGGAGGATTTTAAGGGATAAATTAAAGTGGTGGAGGACAGAGGGGAGAACTCACCAGTTGTGTCAACTTGTGCTCAAAGTGGACCCCAAGTCCCAAGATGGCAGCTGCAAGAAAGGCGGGAAAATGAACACACACTGAGTACTTACAATGTAGCAGGCATCATGCTGGGGCTTTCACACAAATGACCTCATTTAATTTTCACCAAAATCCTTAGTTAAGAATCATTAACCCTTGTTTCCAGTACTGTCAAAGTAACTCACCCAAATTTACATAGCTAGTAAGTGATGCCACTGAGATTGGGTCTTCAAAGTCCTAATGTAGTGCTCTTCATGCTACACCACCACTTTATATCTCCCAGTGTTGCTGAATTGTGCTGAGGACCAGTAGATCTTAGAGAATAATCAGGGAGTTTATTCTCCTTGGGAGAGCAGGAAGTAGATCAATTTACCTCCTCAAGCAATCCCCCAACCTCATTTCTCATGTGACCAAAACAGCTTAACTTAGAGTACAGTGTATTTTCAGTAGATGCCTTCCAAACACACACCGGTATATCCCTATCTGCTTGCTAATGTTTGAAATTATTTTCACTAAGAGAGGCAATGAGGATGAGGATGGGTTTCCATTAACATGTATGTGATATCATTTCTTTGGGGGAGCATGTGGAGGATGGAATGTCTTTACTGTGTACAGTACGTATTTGGATGGAGAAAGCTGATTAAACCAAGGCCATCACTCCATCAAACCCCAAAAAAAGTGCAGAAGTTCTGAGTCCTCTGTAGCCATGTATGCCTATTATATGGTGGGAACTAGTCCCATAAAACAGTCTCATGAAATGAACCCTGGGTACCATGCCATAAAGTACCCTCTACCCTCAGGGTATCCAAATGTATCCAGAAAAACCAAGGGCTCTGGGGCTTGGCATTTTACAGCAACAATATGAAGACAGAACTACATCTGCAGCAGCAGAACTGAAATGAATATAAGACCAGGTTTTTCCAATCTGTCAAAGTAAATTTACTTGGAATTGTGAGCAGCATAAACTCTGTAAGTTCCAGTCTCTTCTTCTATTTTTAACATGTTAGGATTCTACCTAATGATTTGGGTAAGTGTAAGAAATAGTTCATTGCCCAAGATGCCTCTTTTATTTGCCACATATTTTGGAACTCCTTTCTCATCTCTGTGGAATGGTGTCTTCCTTACTATTACTTTTCATGGGTACTACTTAGAACAGAGTTTTCATAATCCGTATCATACTGAGATGTAATGAGTGTAATGGTTAGTGGTATAGAGTGTAGTGGTTAGTGGTTAAGAGTGTGAGCTTTGGAGCCAGAGAACCTTTGTTTGAACCCAGGCTTCATCGTGTACAAGCTGTCTAACGGTGGGCAAGTTACTCTTGTGTGCCTCAGTTTCCCTCATCTGTCCAATTTTGAGGTTAATGGTGCTACATCATAAGTCTGTTTGAAAGATTAAATAAGTTAATACATGTAAAGCAATTAGAAAAGTGACTGACACATGGTATAAGCCCAAGTCTTTAGCAAGGATCTCAAGGATGGGGGAAAGAGGTCAGGGGAAAGATGATCCAGGCTCTAACCAATTTTATATCATGCAGTGGATGGAGAAGAGGTAACATAAAGTGGCTAAAATTTGTCTCGCTGGTCCATGTCTCAACAGTTGAAACAAAGGCCAGTGCCTTTCGAATTTTAATGTGCTTATGAATCACCTGGAGATCTTGTTAAAGTAAAGACCTATCCATTAGGTCCAAGATGCAGCTCGAGAGTGTGCATTTCTACCAGGTGATGCTGACGCTGCTGGTCTACAGACCTCACATTGAGGATCCAGAGTCCAGAGAATGCCTATTCTCAATGCCACACAACCTCTTTCTCTAGGATAGAAAAACTCTCCAGGGATCTTCCTTTTACCCAGCCTCTTTTTTTTTTTTTGTCGTTTTGATCATGGGTCATAGGTCAACACAATGTTTGAAAATAAGTATTGATTTGGAGGAAAATGGCACAGATATTCTATCCTAAATTATATAAAAGTTTTAATCCTTAAACATTTGATGATTTTTCCTCTTAGAATCCAAAATTGGCTTCTCCTTTCTGCTCATTAATTACAAACTAAAGGATTGAGATGGTTTTTGAGGTAGACAAAATATCTCCATCTGCTTTGCAAATAGGGGTGGAATCAGCAAAACCAAGCATCCTCTTGCCAAATGGTGACCTTTGCCAAGCAACCAGTTCTTTAATTCTAACCTCATGCACATTTCAAGGGAAATGCAAACCACATGTTTGTGTTCCACTGACACATAAATCATTGGCATTTCTCATAAAAAGATTTTTGATTGTTTAGGAGCTTTAAACTACCAGGCAGTGTTTTGCTAAGACCAAAGTTGGGCCTTAGCAAACAGCTAAGTTGAAAAACATTCATATTTGAAAAGTCTAAATCCAGTCAAATGACCATTTTTGACCTGGTGATTCCACAGATTTAGGCTAAATTAATTTTTAACCATTTAGTCAATTTCTTCACTATCTTCTATAGATACTCATGAAAGTTAAGAAATGCAGAGAATTGAACATGTGTGTGTGTGTGTGTGTGTGTTTTAAAACATGCCTACAGGCAAAATCAACAAGCATCATTTCTAATCTTTTCTGAAGCCAGCAAAAAGACATCAGGAAGACTGATTCATACCCTACTATCAAGTCACTTATGACTAATCTTACCTCTGATTCTACCAAGATTCAATCAGAGCCGTACAGCAGGAGTTGACAAACCTTTTCTGTAAATAGCCATTAATAAATATTATAGGTTTATATATTAGTTTGCTAGGGCAGCTGTAACAAAGTACCACAAACTGGGTACAGAACCAACAGAAACATATTGTCCCACAATTCTGGAGGCTAGAAGTTAAGATCAAGGTGTCAGCAGGGTTGGTTCCTTCTGAGGGCTGTAAGAATCTGTTCCATGTCTTTCTCCTGGCTTCTGGTGGCTTGCTGGCAATCTCTGGTCTTCCTTGGCTGCATCACCCTGATCTCTGCTGTCACCTTCATGTGATGAACATGTCTGTGTCCACATTTCCCCTTTTTATGAGGATACCAGTAATACTGGATTAGGGGCTCACCTTGTCCAGCATGACTTCATCCTAACTTAATTATATCCACAATGACCCTATTTTAAGGTCACATTCTGAAATACTAGGGGTTAGGACTCCAACATATGGACTTGGGGGGAGGAGAGGACACAATTCAACCTGTTGCACATAGTATCTGTCTCAAATACTCAACTCAGCCCTTGTAGTACAAAAGTAGTCATAGAAAATCCATTTTAAAATGTTCATGGCTGTGTTACAGTGAAGTTTTACTTAGGAAAACAGGCAGTAGGCCTGCAGGCAGCAGTTTGAAGATGCCAGTCTTACAGTATCTCTGATCCTTTCTGAACATGAAAGAACACAGGAAGAGATTTGGCATTTGGCAAAAAAGAAAAAAAAACTTTGCAAGTTTTAGGAATACCTACTTTGTATTTTTTATTCTAGTCACAATGGTTTACATTTAGCTTTAATATGTTATGTTTACATTCTGATATAATCTGAGTTAGCATACACAGTGTCAGTTAAGGAAACTGATACTAATTGTATAATTATGACTCTAGTTATCATATACTGTGTCTTTGGGCTGTCACTAAGTTCAAGAATAACAGGGAAATAGACCTTTCCATTTAACACTATGCTGCATGCCTTGCTTTTTAGTATGAATGTGTCCAAAACATTATAATTATTTTTGATTTTTAATGCCCTTAGAAATGTATGTCTATTTACCCTCAATACATTTCTATATTCCTTTCCATATAATTAATATTTCTAGAATGCCTACAAACACTATATTTAGTTGTATACAGTGAGTCCTGGACAAGGCACACACATTGTCTCCAGGGATTTACTCTGCCTTAGAAGATATATATAAAGGAAATAGATAATACGGTAACATATATTCAAACATCGTTCAAAGATTTACATATATCTCTGCCCCGTAGGGGGAACTGCTTTGCCCTGCTTGGGTCCATATACATACACAGATAAGCGAATCTTGCATCTTCACTTATGGAACCTTAAATGGAACCAAATTAGAGAGTTCCGTATAGGGTCATAGATGTAAGAGCACTTTAAAAAGCTTTCACAGAAAGCTTGAAAGTTGACTGCGCAGTAAAGACAAGGTATCACTCAGCCATGTACTATATATTTTGCAATAGTAGCAGAGGTCATGCTCCCACTTATGTTAAAACATAGATTGGGCTTATTAATGTCCTTTTATATTAAAACGCTAGGCCTCTGGAAAACCCTGGAACTCTTCCTCCATATGGTTATAAAGGTGGCTAGAGTCAGAGGTCAGTATGTGCTTTAAATGTTAAGGGAAAGATGTGCAAGTAGTGAGTGGTCTTATTGGGGATGAAATGAACTCAGTCGCAGCTATCAGGATTAGATGTTAGGGGCTCATTTATCTTCAGCAGAGGTGCCCCACGGAATCACTTACTTGGAGTGCCCCAAGACTGGCCCTGTATTAGGATCTGAAAGAAAATACCCACTGGATTGTACCAATTATAAAATAGGTCAAATTTGGGGTCCAAAAAAGTGGACCATATGCCTTTAATCAGGTTTGTTACCTAAAAGGTTTTCAGTTCAGACAGAAATTTTCAGAGAAAGTGTCAGCTATGATGATATATAAAGTTATATGACCTGAAATGTCAGATGTATGTGGCTTGAATAATTTTAACCATTTTAGGCCCAAAGAAAACTTCTAAAATCATAATTAAAATGCTGTTGTTCTCTTTATAATTATAGAAACACCACATTTCCTGACTACCACACCCATGACTTTCAATAATAGAAGCTAAGATCTGCCTTTACACATTCAGTAGATTTTATAATTACATATAGTTGACTTTTATTGCCTGAAATAAGACTTGAGCTCAAGGAATAAAACAAGAATTTATTCTACAATAAGACAGTAGAGCATCCCTAAAAATTTTTTTTTCAATCCAGAAATTCTTTTAATCTCTTGGTTTCCCTGCTCTATAGTTTAAAAGCAATGGTCGACTGTCCTAAGAATCTCGTACACACTTGTTTGGATCTGGGGCAGTTTCTCTCTTTTCCTTCTACTTCTGTTAGAATAAAGGTAAGGGACTCCATCTTCCCACAGAACTAGAAAAAGAGGATGGAACAAAATGGCTTTTTTCTTCTCAATACTTTGCAAACTTTAAGAAAATGAAGCTCTACAGCAAGTCAATGCAAAATAATGATAATATTAATAATGATGGTGGTGATGATAATGATGAATTAGACAATATAATTCTCTTCTTATTCTAAGTGTGAAAACTGAAGCAAAATGATGAAGTGCCTTTCCCAAGACCAGTGGCTCCACAATTAGAACTTGGGTTTTCCCTCCCTTCACACCTCTTCTTCAGAGGAGAACAAATATCACTAATGTTCATCCTCACCAGGAGAAAACCATACTGGCCCATTCAATGGCCAATTAGAATAAATTGTAAATTAGGGCAAATATGATAGGTAATACAAAAATCAAAAGCTCTCTAAAGAAAAGGAACAAAAAACCTGAATAAATAAGCTTAACGGTCCATTGTTTGTAGAGGAAAAGGATGAAATTATCATCATAATATTCTATGAATTGAAAATGAAGATAAATTTTTATGTGGAAAGAGTTTACCAAAAAATTCTACCCAGAAAGTGAGACTCTGCTAGGAGACGTACTAGTTTTCATAAAAGGGATATTAGCCCATGTCTGATAAGAGATAAAAATATGCTTTGTGTGAATCTAAGTAAACAGGTCAATTAAGATTCTTCATACAAACCCATATTTAAGGGAATGTTTGTGACTGCACTAAGCATTTGGACATTAAAACTGCCTCCACAGGAGAGTGTTCTAATCATCCCAGAATCAGCCCCACAGAGTCTGAATCATCCGGGTGAAAACACCTCCTCTCTTTAAGAGAAATTTTAGAGGCACGAGTTTACAGTAGATACTATAATGCTGCTTTTGACATGAGATAAAAACCTAGTCTAAATATCAATCCGCAGATGCCAAACCTGTGTTTAAACAAAGTACCAATCTGTTCCCCCATCAAAACTCTGGGTAAGATATTGTTTCCACATTCAGAGACATTAGCCCAGCAATGCAAGGGGAAAAAAAATCTTCATTTGGACAGTGCATCTTTCAGACATTCCCTTCTTTTATTGATTTGTTTTCTCCTGTCCCTTTTCTCCTTCTTTTGTTTCCTTATCATAGCTTCAGGTTATTACGTGCAAGTATTGATGGGAATGGATGGTTTTGGTCGATGGAGAGCTAATGCATCCCTAATCCCACTATTGTTACAGAGTTATGCTTTACTCTGGTCTCTGATGGGGGAAAAGGTGCAAAGCTGTTGATCCTAGTTTTATTTGTCACAAACCCATCCATCAATCAAGCGCAAGCATGTCTGAATGCTGAATGACATGTGGGTCTCAGCTGAAAAAATTCGATAACACTGTATTGTCAGGTCTCTCACTCTTTTTTTTGATAAGAAATACATTTGACTGAAATAGATAAGCATGCAACTACTAAAGACTTGAAGAGAGAAAGTGACATATTGGCATCAAAGGTTATATATCTTTGGTATTAATGATACTTATGAGTAAATAAAATGGGAGGGGGCAGCTACAGCTAGAGACATACAACATCCCTAAGGCTGGGTTATGTTTAAGTATCGTTGCTCTTTTATTATTTGGTTTTCAACATTAATCTGACCGTATTTCACAGTCGGCTACCCTGGTTAAAATGTAAGCAAATGTGCATTTGGTGAAGGTGGTGAGGTGCAGGGAATCAAATATCACTTGTTTACAATGCTCTGAACAATTCAGATAGATCCTTTTTTGTTATGTATGGTAGGTAAACCCATGGAATATTTTTTTGTGTATATATGAACTCATAAGTTCACAACTGTCTGCTCTTGTGAGTGAAAGCATTTAGGGGGGGAAAGCTTTAATTATTTTAAACTGGAAATATATATGCATGTCATTTTAATAGTGACTTAACTTATAATTACAATCTCAAAAATGGTTTCTGTGTGTCCTTTTTATTCTTAGTTACTAAATTAGGTACTTTAATACATTATGAAAGCCTGTCTTTTCAGTTATATACAATTTTCTATTCATAGTTATTTCAAGATAATTGCATTTGGAAATAGTTAAAGCATTAAAAACAACACTAGTATAATATAATTTTAGGGGCAAAATTAATCAACAAATCAGAACATTTTCAAAATCATTTTATTTCCTTGTCATAACATTTTAGAGAAGACAAGGTATTTTTTTAAATGACCTAAAAAAAAAAAAAGCCCATCAAGAAAGGTAACAAAAAGACAGTCCTGAATTAGAGAGCACTAAGATGAACGTTTTGTAGCCGTTAAATATCACCGCGCTATGAAAGTAAGCCATTTTTCCTCTGTTCAGTGACTGGGGGCTAGAAAACTGCAAAAAATCAATGTGGAAGTGCTTTATATTTGTGGGGTAAATTACATGTGCTTGGCCGCTCCATTGTATCTGCCCTATATTCTATACAAGATACTTTAGATGGAACTGTCACATAATACATATACTTCATATTGACTTTTATAGATTTAAAAGAACTTGAATTGAACTCCTGTAATAAAGCAAGAGAAACTGTATCTCTGTCAAATCCCTAATACCCGAGTTATTCTTGAAATTAACTAAATGGTAACTCCTAATTTTAAATTCATGGTGAGAGACCAAAAAAAAAAAAATCAAGTCTGATTCCTAATTCTCCTTACCTTCTGTTTTGTTTCTCTTACTGACATTTTATCTTAATTACCCCACCTCTTTAAACCCATGTTAATTCTTAAAGATTTCCCAGAGGGGCCCATGAACCAGCAAGTGAGAGCCAACCAAACCTTTAAAAGTTGTCAGAAGTTCCAAACAACGACCTTTCTGTTGACTATTCTTCTGGGTTTCCAACTCGATTTATTTAGTTTGGCCTCAGTTTACAGTGACTTTTAGGCTATTGTGAATTCTGATCCTACTTAAATAAAGTATCCAAGGCCACCATAAGGTTCAGGGAGTCCATGATTATCCCAAGGGCAGCCTCTCCTAGCCAGACACTACCTATGAGGCTCCAAATAACCCCAGTTGGTAGAGAAGCAATTCAGTCCCAAATTTTAAAAATACTATGAGGTTGTCCAGTCAACTCTGGATATCCAGGTTCTAGGCTCTGGATAGGACTATAACCCAGCTTCTACATCTCTTTAGAATAAGGATTTATTGAATCTGGGGTGACTTTTGTTCCACAGCGGGTCTCCAGGAAGAATACGGACTATTGCAATTTTACTCACAGTGATGAGAAAGAAACAACAGTAACATGAAAACTACAAGGAACCATCTTGAGATTTGGTGCTATTAGGGAGTCATTTCATCAAAACGCCTTGGGGAGAAGGATGAAATGTGGGATAAAAGGGATTTCTGTTCTGGTGACATTTGAAACATTTAAAAAATGATTTAGAAAATATTTAACATTATAAAGAAGAAAATGATATCATTCATAATGCCATAACCCACAAGAGGCATTTGTTCCTTTTCTATATGATATGTGATATAATGAAATATTGAGAGACAGATTAATCAATTGATCTCATGGGAATATTTTTAATGTGGCTAATGACACATTAATAATCCTATTCTATACCTCCTTTCATTAAAGAAAATCATTATGAGAATGTCTATCATTTATAAGTGACTTAAAACCAGTTTTTTTCACATAAATGAATGTTAGAGATAGCCAAGATATTAAATATGTTCCCATGGGACAGAGAATTTGGAACTCTACTCCAATGGTGAAAGGATCTAGAAACAGTTTTTTTTCAGATGACTATAAGATAAAGTTCTAATGACTTCTGCTAGCCATACTCAGCACAACCACCAAATGTGTGTGTGTGTCTGTGTGTGTGTGTGTGTGAGAGAGAGAGAAACCATTTGAGTTTGGGAATATTTATTATAGTTAATATTTTCAACAAACTTTTTTTTTAATGGGAACAGAATAAAATTAGGAAAAAAGACATGTATAAACACAACTCTAAATCTCTACTAAAGAACACAAAAGAAGATTTAAAAAATGGAAATATATGTCATTCTTCTGAATAAGAGATGCTCTATGATAAATTCTTTCCAAGTAAATGTGTGTATGTAATATAAATAAAGTTAAAATGCTAATACCATTTTTAACCTAATAGACTAATTCGAAAGTTTATTTGGAAGAATAAATGTGTGATCAAAGTCTAAAAAAAAATTAAGAAAGAAATTTGAGAAAGGACTTGTTCTACCAGGTGTCAAAGTATGTTGTAAAGCTTCACTAATTAAACAGTGCATATTCTAGGGATGTGTATCCCCTGGTCCCCAGTTCTGGTGCTGTTCACTCTGAAACTGCAGTGTCCTATAGTCTAAATTACTCTCCAAACCTCCGAGGGGAGAAAATAAGTAAAGCAGCAGCAGCAGTGATGAGAGAGCTTTTCTTCCTACCGGTATTCCTCGGATTTGGCCCCTGGCAGAGGATAAAGGGGGAAGTGACGGTTATCACAGGAGCACATAAAGAACTAAGAAACCTTGATACCCTACGTATTTTCCTACCTTACAGTGAGGTAGAATTCACTTTAAAGAGACACACAGAGAAATACTTTACTCTCTCCCCAATTCCTCTCTCCTTTCTTTAGTCAAAGTTATAGCAGCTATGCCTTTAAATAGTTTAAAGTGTTCCCCCAAATAGTTCTTTTAAAAATCTAACACCTTTGCAGGAAAGAAGGGAAGAAAATCCTCCACCAAAGCTCATCTAAGCATTTTTGGAACTGATTATAGGGTAGGAAAATTGTCTTATGTGATTTGAAAAAGCAGAAACTATCACTTGGCCTTTAGGCCTGCCCTGGCTCATTGATCTCCCAAATTCCACCCAAACAGACACAGCAGTAGAACAAATAGAATCCTGAAACAGAGCCTATGAATTTGGTATTGGTAAAAGTGAGATTTTAAATAGATAGGGTTGCTCTCATACACTACTGGTATGAATGTAAAATTGGTAAGCCAATTTAGAAGCCAATTTTTCCAGTGTCTGTTAAAATGAAATACATGCATTGCCCATGATCCAGCAATTCCACTTTTCTCCACTTCTCCCTGACAAACTTCAGCACATGTGCACAGGACAGGTACAAGGATGCAGCACTAGTTGAATAGTGAAAAAACTTGGAAATAATAAATGGCCATCAGCAGGGGACTGGTCAAATAAACTATTCAGGAATCATACTATGAGTATGATGTGTAAGTAGGGAAGCATGAGATAGATCTCTCTGTACTGGTACAAAAAAGATCTCTGAAACATATCACTGAGTGAAGAAAAAGCAAGCTTCAGAATATTACCACACAAGGTATTGTATGCTGAGGTGTATATACCTCATACATACATGTGTCCCACACCAATCACTATGAAAAAAGATCCCATAAATTTTCATTAATTTTTGTCTACCTCAAACCATACATAAAAATATATTTATGTATTAACTTAGCTGTGACTTTTTTCAAACTATAAAATCACTAAAAGGAATTATATGAGAATATTTATTTAACCTGGCTAAGGTTAAATAAAGGCCAGAAACTATAAAGGAAATTTCTGAAAGCTTTAACTTTATGACAAAATAATAGCAATAAACTTGCACACAGCAAAAAACAGTAAGAAAAACTGAAAGAAAAATTGTTGGAGGGAGTTCAGATGGTTACAGCATTTCTTAGGGAGAAATCCATCAACATGTACACTTAAAATGCAGATACCCTGTATCCCAGCAATTCCACTTACAAGAGTTTATGCCAAGGAAATAATTGTACACACTGTCAATTTTGTGTGTAAAAGAATGTCCAGAGTGGTATTTTGTGTTTATAATTGCACATAAAGGGAGGGGGTATGAAATGTCCATCAGTAAGTAAATGGTTCAATAGATCACAATGCTTCCATGTAATGGAATATTATATAGCCATTAAGATAGATAATACAGATATTAACCTTTATTGAGTTCCACTGGCAAAACTGACTTACATGCAGTATCTCATCCAATCCTTTCAACAATGCTTTGACGTAGATATAGAGAGGTTAAGTGGCCCCAAACATAAGATGTCTCACTCCAAATCTGGAACTTTTGGAGGATCTGTATGTACTGACATAGAAAGATATTAGTGAAACACTAATATGAAAAAAAGGAAGTTGAAGGATAGTAGAACAGTGCAGTCACATTTATATAATAAATGTAAAAGTCATATATATATATAATAAATGTAGAAGTCTGATAGGGAGAGAGAAACATGTTAAAGTGGTTGTCTCTACCTGGATGGGTGTTATATACTTTTTACTTAACTATAATTTCTGATTTTTTTTTCCAGCTAGGAACACATATGGCACTTTTAAAAGTAATTAAACTAAATAATTCTAGGATAAAACCAATAGTGTTTTAGGGCAGTGAAGATTATTGTTCTGGCAAAGGTTATTATTTAAAATGCAGTGTTTTAAGACTCCCTGTGGTTTTGCCTAGAGAACACATTCCCATTGGTAGATGCCATGTAAGTTAGAAAATGAAAAGTCAGCTGGCCTTTTCCAGTGATCAAAAACTAATATACCAGTGAAGAGATTAAAATGATCTCTACTGTTTAATTACCTAGAAATTCAGATATTGTTTTAAAGTACACTGGAATAACAACTTTTGAGCAGGCTGATATGAATGAGGGGTGACAAAAAGGATGAACAAAGTGAGTTACTTTAAACCAATTGTCTTCATTTCTCACAAATCACCCTCTGAGATTACTCATGCTTTTTTCCAAACAATGTGCTGATCTAGAGGATCCCCAGTCCAGTGGGAGGAGCCTGCTGGATCACATCAATGGAATCTGCACTTGTCACTTCCAGGGAATGTAGTTCCTGAGACAAAATCACCATCACACATAAATCCACAAACCATGATTTTACCAAACACCCCTACTATTTTTCTTTTCTCTCTCTTACTCTTTTCTCCCTTTTTGTTTCAGTGAAATCAGGTTAAAAATGAGTATCAGGAGGAAAATTTGAAGGCACTGTAGCAAGATAATGCAGTCCTACTTTCTCTACTGGGAGATTTGTTAAATGGGACCCAAAGTAGGGAAAGACCCCCTTAATCCTAAAGCTAGAATCAAAGCTAGAGCTGCAACCCACGTCTCCTCATTTTTCCTGGCACAGAGTTCTTTGACTGGACAACCCTAAGTAATAGTCAATCTGAGGGGGCTGAAGTATAATGATAAACAGCTTTTGCCTTAGGGGCCACGTTAGGTAGAGGTGAAGATGGGGTGAAGATTCTGGGATGTACACTGATTGTAGACATGTACGCTTTAACACCAGCAATCAGAGCCACTCTCATTTCCCTTAACCATAATTTCCTGAGAATAATGAGCCACCAGTTCCAATGTTGCAGATTCCAAAATACCACACCCTATGGAAGGTTTGTATCCATTTGTGAGAAGGCAAGGACTGGAAGGAAGAGTTATTTTCTCTCTTCCTCTCCTCTGCAGTTTGGTTGAAAGATATCCAAGATTGAATCAAGGCACAGATAATCTACTCCCAGTGGGATTTGAGAAAAACAGTCCCCCCACCTCTAAAGTATGTCCTCTAATGGACTTGCTGAAGCGCTTGATATACCACATTAAAAACTCACTCATTTGGGACAAAGAATTATTTGCATACTCAGTACTAAAGAAATGTTTATTAAGAACTTATGCGCGAAACACTTTTCTTTATGCTTCCCTCCCAAAAAAGTGACAAATGAATTATAAACTGTTTCTATCCTAAAGCCACTTAAAATGTAGATGGGAATTAGACAAGAAACAACACAACTTAAATTAAAAGCGAAGTGTTCGCACAGGGTAGGGATGTTTGTCAAGCACTTAGGAGACCTGAAGGACCAGAGACAGGCAAAGCAGGAAAGGGGGAAGGGGAGGGGAGACACCAGGCAGCGGGCATAGGTCTGGGGACCCCAGAGCTGGAAGGAAGTGTAAGATAGGATGACAGACTGAACAGGAGCTGTGCACGGGCCCGGGCCCGCTTTACCTGAGGAGGAGAGCCTCCAGAGGGGGTTAAGCCAGCAGGGCTGATGGGGAGAAGGGGCTGTAATATGTGTTACACTGATGTTTATGTATCATAATAGAGAGAAGGCGGCATCAGGTCATTAACAGTCATTAACATATATGAAGAATTTGTTCCAGAAAATAAAAGTGGTGAGAGCATTCAGAAATTAACCTCAGAATTACACTGTTGCTCTGAAACTGTGGGAAACAGAGTTTTAAAATCTAGCCAGAATTTGTAATCTGGTTGGGAGGTCAAAATCTGCACAAAAAATATCAGAGTACATATGTTAACCTGTAGGGTGGGGATTTCAATGCAGTAGTGGTTCAGGGAAAGGTGCACTCTAGAGAAGGCTGAAGCAGCCTCAAAAGACCTTATGAAGGGAGGGAAAAAGACCTGCCGAGAAGACAGTGAGAGCAAGTGTCTGCTGGGGTAGGGGGTGGGGGGTAGTGACAAAAGCTAATGACAGTCATTCAAGAAACATTACCCAGTAGAGGGAGAGTATAGCTCAGTGGTAGAGCATGTGCTTACTATGCACAAGGTCCTGGGTTCAATCCCCAGTACTCCTATTAAAGATAAATAAATAAATAAATCTAATTACCTCCCCGACCCAAAAAAACAAAGTGTTCAAAAAAGAAATATGAAAATGAATATTTGTATATGTATGAAACATTATGCTGTACACCAGAAATTGACACATTGTAAACTGACTATACTTCAATTTTAAAAAAAAAGAAAGAAAGAAACATTAACCAAGCCCTGTACCAGGTGTTTTTCTTTTTTTTTTTAACATTTTTTATTGATTTATAATCATTTTACAGTGTTGTGTCAAATTCCAGTGTTCAGCACAAGTTTTCAGTCATTCATGGACATATACACACTCATTGTCACATTTTTTTCTCTGTGATTTATCATAACATTTTGTGTATATTTCCCTGTGCTATACAGTGTAATCTTGTTTATCTTTCTACAATTTTGAAATCCCAGTCTATCCCTTCCCACCTTCTACCCCCCTGGTAACCACAAGTCTGTATTCTCTGTCCATGAGTCTATTTCTGTGTGTACCAGGTGTTTTTGATGGATGCAGGATAAGTAGTAGAAATGGCCTGTCAGGGGCCTTCAGTTTAGTGTTCTCTGGTGGGAAAAGGAAAGATACTGCTCTGATTAGAGCAGAAGCTTTGCTGAAAGAAAGGGTGATTCAGAGCAGGAGAGTGTGTGTGTGTGTGTGTACTAGGGACAGGGACTGGGAGGAAAGGGACCTGCATGGCCAGGGCACAACTAATGAGTTCCTGGGGAGACAGGTTAGAGACCAATGAGAACTCTGAAGACAAAGTTGATCATTTCACAGTATATCCTTATGATCCAATCAAACACACACACACACACACATATGCAGACACACATACCTATACACATGCACATTTAATGCCTACTGACTGCAGTGTACTTTAGAATTATATACAAATTGCCCTTCAATGAAAGATTTACTATAGAATACTTAATTACAGTGTGTCTTTATTTTAGAGCTGCCTTTCAAAGACTTTATCGCTAAAAAAAACAAAAAAAATCAAAATAAGAGCCCTTCTTTGGTATGAATAGAGACACTTGAAAAAAGATGACTTTGGTTCATATGTTATTTAGTTGAAGGATATTTTTATGGAAAAAGTAGATGTGAAGGTCATAACAGGTATCCTGGACCTTGACTTACAACACAAAAAGAGAGACAAATATCACATGATATCACTTATATGTGGAATCTTTAAAAAAAAAAAGATACAAGTTAACTTATTTATAAAACAGAAACAGACTGACAGACATAGAAAAACTTACGGTTACCAAAGAAGAAAATGTAGGGGGACAAAGTAGGAGTTTAGGATTAACAGATACACACTACTATATATAAAACACATAAACAACAAGGACCTACTGTATAGCACAGGTAACTATATTCACTATCTTGTAATAACCTGTAATAGAAAAGAATCTGAAAAAGAATATATGTATAACTGAATCACTTTGCTGTACACCTGAAACCAACACAACATTGTAAATCAACTATACTTCAATTTAAAAAATACATAAAATACAAAAAAGTTTGTTTTATACTTAGAAAACCATTATCTATTCATTATATTAAATTTATAATGTATAAAAAAATGAAGAAAAAAATCATCCATAGGTGACCACAGCTGACATTGTGTATGTAGCTCCTTCTAATTGTGTATATTTTAACCAATTACCTCATTAAAGCTAAGCTTGCTATTTACTAGCAGATACCTTCAGGTGTCCCTACTGACCACAAAGCATAGGTGACCGACTATGTTAATTGACCCAGGTCTCTAGCCAGCTAACCTAGTTTCATGTTTATGTTCAGGGTAACATAGATCTCAGGTTTTGAGCTGAAAGGAATCTCAGAGATTAAGTTCATTGCCCTCGAACAGTGGTTCTCAAAGTGCAGACCTCAGACCAGCAACTTTGGCTTCACCTGTGAGCTGGTTATAGATGCAAAATCATGGGCCCTACTCCCACCTGCTGCACAGAACTCTCTTACAAAGGGGCCCAGGAAAGGATGATATAACACTCAAGGTGATTCCAGTGCACACACAAGTTTGAGAACACACAGCTAGCTAGCAGTAGTCTCCAATCCACAGCAAGACCTAGGAATAACATGCATGATGGTGCCTCGTGTGACTCACACAGTGACTTGTACAGAGTAGACATTTAATAAATGCTTGTTGACTGAAAGAACTGTCTCCTAAATTCTCCCAAATTTCTATCCCTTTTCCCATGCCTTTTTGAACAGATCCCACCTAAATTTGCCTTTGAAGCAAATGCTCCTCCTATTTCCCAAGAATTCCCTTTGGTCCCTGCTTAGAAAACTGAGCCCCCCAGAGTTTTCTTCTTAACTTTCTCATTCTAAGGCCCCTGCTTAGAAAACTGAGTCCCTCAGAGTTTTCTTAACTTTCTCATTCTAAGGCCTTACTACTCAAAATGTGGGCAGCAGGCCAGCAACACGGGCATCACCTGTCAGCTTGTTAGAAATGTAGAATCTCAAGCCCCACTCCAGACCCACTGAATCAGAACCTGTGTTTTTACACCATCCCCAAGTAATGAATTTACACATTAACGTCTGAGAAGCAATCTTCCAGGGAGACAACTGCTACTCTTAATCTTGCTCAGGTGAGTTTTGTAATAAGTACATTTTAGTATTAACAGTATGTGACACTCATTCACTCAACAAGTATTTCTTGAATAGCTACTGTGTGCAAGGATGGGTGTCATGGAAAAACAAAGATGCAGAAGACATGGCCTCAGACTCTTGGAGGAACACAGTAAAGCCAGTAAGGGGAATAGACAGTGGACACCAATAGCTGTAACACCAAGCAGGATATTGTTAAGAGTCTTCTGAGTGGTCTAAGATACTAGCATTCAGGGAGGGCAAGAGAGTACTCCCTCCTAGGGTAGAAGAGGAAAATAAGTCATTCAGTTTGCAAATTTAATTATAGTATAAAAACAGGTTTATAGTTCTAGCAATGACTTTAGAAGGTCCCCTTAGAAAGAGCATCTTTGAAACCAGAGAGACCTGAGTTCAAATCCAGCCAGGTGATCTTGGGAATGTGACTTACACTCTCTGAAGCTAACTTCCTTGTCCACAGAAGAGCACAATACTTATGTTTCAGGGTTGCTCCGAGGTGTAGTGAGAGGGCATGCACAGCTCCTAGAATGGTGTCTGGCACATAGAAGGCACTCAGCAGTGGTGTTACTGCTGCTGCTCCTGCTCCTGAGGTCCTTGTGACCAGAGCCCTGTCTCCCTTGATCTCTGAAATGTGCGAGTTGCATGAAAGTAGCCACCCTGGGGAGTACCTGGACCTGACCTAATGAGGTTCTAGCCACAAGTTCTTAGTCATCATTCTGCAGCACTTCATCACATTTCAGTCTTGAGTGGTAGATAAAACCTGAAAATTATGTGCAATCACTTATTTAGCTGCATAAAACAAAGAAAATAACATCAAGCTCATTTATGTTTACACAACAGTATAGATAGATCTGGATATTCTGAAATAGTTTGAGTCTGAATTAAACAAGTGTGTTGTCATCAGGATAACTGGTATCGTGTACACATAGTCTCCATTCTTCTCATTCTATCCAGGCTAATCTGAACCTGAGCTTGTCTATCTGGTAATGCCAGGAGCCATCAGGCTACAGAACCTGAATCTCTCCTTCCATCTCTTCTTCCTCTGCCTCCTCCTCCTTTTTCCTCTTCTCCTGCCACTTCCTCTTCCTCCCCCACTTCCCTCTCTCCCCAAGCTACTAAGCCCTGCTCTAGCTCTGTTGTTGTTTTAAATGCCTAAATCAGGTTGCCATCTTATGTAAATATAAATTGGAAGGCAGTCAAAAGAAGCTCAAAATAATGGTTGCCTAGTGCCTATCTCACAGTCCTTAAGAAATCTTCATAATCTGTAAGGGAAATCTGACAGTATTTTTTAAATGTTGAAAACCCATAAAATAGTAGATGCTGTACCTTCTTATGTCTCTAAAGAAAAAAACTGTCTCACAGCCCAACCAATTCTAAAACACAAGAGGGCAAGAAAAATGTCTTGACAATTACTCTTGAGTACCAAGGTCTTAACGCTCAAAGTGTTTGGCTTTCCAATGAACAGACCCACACAATCAGCATTGCCATGAAGGTAGGGTGATCATAAACTTTATCACTTCTAATTCTTGTAACAATTAAAGGGGTTCTATTAACAATTATATAAACTATAAAAAGTATTAATCCAGGATAGTCCTGTGAAGGAGAGCTGTATAGCCATCCCACCTAAAGGCAGGCAAGGATAAGAATAAGATCTGGAGCAGAGGTAGTGATAGGTAAGGAGATATGGACAAATATTTTCTGAATTTAACAATGTTTGATGGTGTATGTATAAAATCTGTCCACTGAGCTACAGCTTGATAGGACTTACAATATACCTCATCTCATTTATTCAGCAATATATGGAACATTGCCTAGAACTGAGTTTCTGAGTCGCAAAGCTCACCCATTAACATTCATATACTTAAGACACAAAAGAGAAGCCCCCAAAACTTCCCTCAGAGCTCACTGAATCCTCCATGAAATGCAAGCCATTAATACATTAATTTAACTAATGCCATATAGAAATAAAAAGTTGCATATCAGAACATATAATGGGCCTGTCACACCTGTAAGCAGCAGAGGACCCAATAGCCTCATTATAACACGATAGACAGAAGAATCCCAAACAGAGTCTGTGACCTATAAACCTCTGAAGATGCCACTGTTCTGCAGCACAGCACAATCACTGACGTTCATCATTATGATCCTGACTCATCAAGAAGAAGGCTATGATTTAAGTAGAGAAGCAGTATAGTGACGTTGAAAGAACAATGACAATGAGGTCAGAAAGACCTAGGTTATAGTCCTAGCTCTGCCATTCACTGCCCTTGTGACCTTGGGTTAATTATTCAATCCCTCTAGGCATTATTGGCACCAGCATCATCTGCAAAATAGGAAGAATACATATCTAAAGGTGATAATAATGAAGTGGGTCATGATTTTTAAAGTTCCAGCACTGTGCCTGCCATATGGGAACTGCTCAATCAATGGAAATTATTACTCGTAATAATAAAAAGTTCTGTATGTTCTACTTGAAAGGAATGTTATCCTGAATGACAAGAAACAGTACAAGATTATCAATATTGGGGTCTCCTCCTGTGGGATGCTCACTGAGCCAGTTTAGGGCAGTTGTTATAGCTTCTTTACACGTAAAAATCAAATAGCCAGGCATGGTAATGTAAGCAACACTAAGAACACCAGCAGAGATCCTCATAGACTAGCAGACCAGAAAGCGGGTGGGGGCAGAATAAAGGGTGATGTCTCAGAGGAAGGGTTCAGGCAATAATAGAATACCCCAGAAAACAAGGTCCTCTTTCCAGAGCTGGGATCTAGAATCCTGCGGCAGACCATTCCACCAGCATGCATATAATGTATAAAATATAAAAAGAAAAGGTTCTTTTCATAAAAGATTAGGCTTTGGAAGCTCTCAGAGTAAAAAATGTTTATTAATGGATTGCACTGCCTTGAGAAATAGTGAATTTTCCATCAACAAAAGAGTATTCAAATATAACTCAAAAGTCTCCTGGTATGGGTATTACTGAATGGATTTAAGCACTGGCTGGAAAACTGAATTAAACCACTTTACGAAGGTCCTTTCCAAAACTAAAACATATTTCACCTATATGGAATAATTTAGATATTCATAAAAATACTAAGTAAATGAGATGCTATTGTAAATAGTTTATTATTTCTGAATATAAAGTGAAAGTAAATTAACTTAAGAAATTATTAAGGTATCACAAATACATACAAGAGAAAACAAATAATAATTCTACTCTTCCAGGGACAACCATCATAAACATTTTCTTTCAGTATTTTTTCCATAGATTTTTTTTCCCAAATTGATCATTTACTGCACATATAATTTTTATCCTACATTTTTTGCTTTGTTATATAAGAATCATTTTTGTGTCATCAAAAATGTTTTAGGCAGCATTTTAAGGTTGCAAAATATTACGTTATCTCAATACCTCAAATTTGGGCACAAACTCACATGCCTAAGTAGGAACCCTGATCTGCCATTTACCAGTAGTGTGAATTTGGGCAATTTACTAACACCTCTGGGCCTCATCCATAAAATGTGAATAACAGTCCTACCTACTTCATAGTTTTATTGTTAGAACTAAAAGAGTTAATATGTATAAAATACTTAAAAGTGTCTGATACATAGTAAGTGTTAGTAAGTGCTCAATAAATTTATATTACTGTTCCTACTCATTTTCCTAATATGAGCCATTTAGATTGCTTTCAGTTTTTCATTATTATAAATAATTCTGTGATAAACATCTTTGTAATATATAAATTTTTAAAGATACTCTTCACAATTCAAACTCTTAAGCCATTTATTTTATTCATTTCAGTTCTATGCTTTAGCCACAAAGCAATGGATAACAGATGCTATTTACCAGGAACTACTGGCACTGCCATTTTTTTAAGGAAGAACATTGTTTATTTCTATTTTTTTCTTTCCTCGTTTTTTTATTCTGATACAATACACATAAAATTTAGCATTACTGACATTTAGAACATCATTGTGCAATTTGCCAATATGTTGTTAGACCACTTATCCCAAAGATCATCAAATATAATGCACAGAAAATCAAAACTACAAAGAGGTATCACCTCACACCAGTCAGAATGGCCATCATTAAAAAGTCTACAAATAAATGCTGTAGAGGGTGTGGAGAAAAAGGGACCCTTCTACACTGCTGGTGGAAATCTAAGTTGGTGCGACCTGACTATGGACAGCAGTATGGAGGTTCCTTAAAAAACTAAAAATCGAGTTACCATATGATCCAGCAATCCCACTCCTGGGCATATATCCAAAGAAATCTATAATTCAAAGAGACACAGGCATCCCAATGTCCACAGAAGCACTATTTACAATAGCCAAGACATGAAAACAACCCAAATGTCCAATGACAAATGAACATGTGATACACACACACACACACACACACACACACACAAATGGAATACTACTCAGCTATAAAAAAGAATAAAATAATGCCATTTGCAGCAACATAGATGGAACTGGAGATGGTTACTCTAAATGAAGTAAGCCAGAAAGAGAAAGAAAAATACCATACGATGCTGCTTATATGTGGAATCTAAAAAAAAGACAAATGAACTTATTTACAAAACAGAAACAGACTCACAGACACAGAGAATAAACTTACGATTACCAGAGGGTATAGGAGGTGGGATGGGATAAATTGGGAGTTTGAGATTTGCAGATACTAACTACTATGTATAAAATAGATGAAGAAAAAGTTTATACTG